AAGATGACCAGCTTTCTGGGAGCTCTAAGTATATACATTATCTAGTGAATGATTTAATTATTTAATCACAGAGGCTTAATTTTAAGAGACAACCCATTGCCAAGTTATAATAATAGTGCCTCACTGGCATGGCCAGCTCTTCAGGGGAGGATAACGGTGGAATTTACAAGGTGGCATAAGTTTTTGTTTGATTGCTGGTTTTTTAAAAAAAAATAATTTAAAACAAATCTCATCTATAAAGTATATATGGGCATAACTTACAAACTAAAGCATACATACTGAAATGGGAAAAAGACCATTTTCACTTTCAATATACAATAAAGCATTTAAAGAATACACAAACCACCAAAAGCATTCATACTTCAACTTTTGTAAGTAAGGTATGGGTTACTTATAAAATGAGGTATGGGTTTAGTTTGGTTAGTTACAAAGCCAAGATCCAAAGGATTGTCTTTTCTATATCTTGGTCCATCATCAAATTAGGAAAAATGGTATTTTTAACTCTCAAAGTCAGCCTTATCTAGCCTCCTAATTTGATTAAATGGGCTTTAAAAACAAAGTTAAAATGGGCTTTTTCCCCTTATTTCAAATATCTAGGTACCAAACATACTAGGAGAGACTGTAAATAAAATTTTTTAAGATTTTGTTCCTAGTGTCAACCATTAAACAATAGAATAGTATGTATTTTTAAAGTCTACTAAAAACAGAATATAGAATATATAACAACATGGAATATTAACCAATTATGCATTTTCAAACTTTATAAACAGGTCAAAGAAACAGGGTTAAAATAGAAATGTTGGGCTATTTAATTCTATTATCTAATAATTAAGAAGACAGCTTATTTCCAGTACAGGAAACAAAGCTTGAACCAAGGAACTCTCCGCCTGACTCCTATTCACAGTGCAAACCAACGAAATGAAAATGACAACAACCCAAAACTCCATCCATTCTGGCCAAAGACCATTTGCTTGAAGTGGGGAAAGAGTTTCAATGGAGAAAAACCTGATTAAAAGTTAAGCCTGCCACCTGCTGTCAGAAAGCCGACTCTGAAGTAGGATAAAGTGCATTACTTGAAGTTGTCCTATAATTTGAAGAGCTTACATTCCACAGTTAGAGCAGGGGTGACCTATGTGCCAGACTGAAAAGTGAAGAACCCCACTGATGATCAAAAGTCAAGCAGCCAGATAGAAAATGACATTCATATCAAAGATTCCCTAGAAATGAAAGAAATGCTGTTTCATGGGTCATTCAACTAAACAGAGTAGAATTCCCCAATCTTTTTTAAAAGGAATCACCCAGGCAGTTCCGTTTTGCCTTCACAAAGCATCCCTAACAATAGAAATCATAGCTTCTGGAAAGAAATTCTGATCCCAATGGCTGTATGAGGAAGTAAAGGAAGAGGGATAAATGATTTCAGGGTACCACCAGAATGCTAATTTTCCTAAGTCAAAATTGTCAAAATGACTGCACAACATTGAAGCGATCTATTTTTTTTTTTTTGCTTTAATTTGAAAATTTCCAAATGCTTTCCAGTTCCTTGATTTTCTATAGTCCCATGAAGTTTGGTTTCACATGTCCTCCAACCCCCACTGATGACATTTCACATATTTGAGTGCATGTGCCAGTAACCTTCTGTTAACTAAAGAGGAACACAGTCAACTTCTATTTATGGATTTGGAAGAGCACAAGGCAGTCCACTGTTCTAAGAAAGTCAGAGTTTGGGAGAGCAAAAATTGCCTCACTAGGAAGGTTTCATGTTAAGTGCTCTTAACACACACACACACACACACACACACACACACGCGCACGCGCGCGCGCAAAAGGGACAAAAGGAAATTTCGAGAGGTATGTCTATGACCTTGATTGTCATGATGATATCACAAGAGTTTGCATAGTCCAAACTCAAATTGCACACATGAAATATATGCAGGTTCTTTGTTTATCAATTATACTTCAATAAAGCTGTTTTTAAAAATGTTTCCCACATGATTAAGAACAAAAGGTCTAATTAATTCTCAGTGTAGACCAAGAAAGAAATGCACCATGTACGAACACTGTGCCACGGGGTGAAATTATGCTAGAGGAGAAATCAGCTTTTTAAATACAGGTGTCTAATTAAAGTACATTCCTATGAACTTGGATTCCTTCTGTGCTACATTGCAGCACTTGAGCCAGGGTATCACCATAACCAGGCACGTGGTTGCAACCCATCCAGCTCTCACATACCTGAGATCCTGTGACTACAGTGACCAACAACATTTATACCAGCTGATGGTCACTTGATCCTCACATCTCTCTATTTAGTAAATTGCTCTGCAAGTCAACTTCAAGACCAAGGTGAACATTTTCTGGGACGTTCCTGCTTGAGACACTTTATAAAAGACATTCTCTGCCAAATAATTCTAGTCTGAACAGGCCTGGAAAGGGACTAGGTTGGCACATGATCCTAAAACAAGCTGCTAAGGGCGAAACCACTCATAACCCATAAAGACAGACTCAGACTAGTTTTTTAAAAATAATATTTAGCAATTAGGAGCATGGCTTTAATCCTTCTCGATGAAAATCAATTTTTAAAAAATAGTCATGAGATGAAAACATGAGTCATTGTACTCATCAAAAACACTCAGAGAAAAAGGATAGTTTTAATCTAAATAATAGCCATTTTTGGACAGTTTCCATAAATTAATTGCTCTGATTCCATGTGCACATGTCTCTTCCATCCCTGGAAAAAAATCCCTAAAGTATTATCTTTATACAATGTCAGTAACGTGCAAAACAGTGAAGAAATACTGTCATTAAAAAAGGAAGTAAATTAATTTGCACTCCATCAATAAGTAAAAATAATAAGTAACTTTTCTGAACCTGTAAATAATAGAAAAAGCCAGTTAATTCCCAAGAACTCATGAGACTTTCATTTACTTACTGTGGTCATTCTGCATTTGTACCCACTTTTAAGCCTTGAGCTATTTTCTGGAGACATCAACACGTGCCTACTACTGTAGGCTTCATTTACAATCAAATCTCCAACAAAGCTGTTTCTGCCATTGTTCAGACTTGTTTTGTCATCTAAGTATCTTCATAGTACAGAATTCTTTGTTTTGGTCTTCTGTGACTCTTTCCAGCAAGTTCCACTTGGCTCAGATGGGATGAAGGAGGAACAAATATTTAGTCTCTACACAATGCCTGCTGAGTTCCTCCTCAAGCTGCTGGGCTTGGTTCAAAAAGTCTCTTGTGAGATGATAGGGGGCTTTCCTGGACCCCTCTGCAAAGTTAGCTACATGCTACTCAGGGCCGACTCCCAGATGACTCAGTCTATACTCATCCAGAAACACAAGCCACACTGCTCTCCAATTATTTGTTTACGAATATACCTCCCCCATGAGAACATGGTCTCTTTGAGGGTAAAAATCGAGTCCCATTCTTCACAGATTTCCTGTGTACCAGGAGAGCACCCTAGCACATAGTAATCTTTTAGTAAATATTTGTCCACTAATCTGAGTCAATAGACTATAAAATGCCTGGCACCTGTACTAATACACCTCACAAAATAGTGGGAGAATATCTCCATTTCAGTAAAACGCTTGTGTTTATTGAGCCCTCAAGTATTTCTTGGTTTTCATCTTAGCTTTATGGAACCTTACAATAGACTTGTAGCACCCAGTCATCTTGGGGGCTCAGGAAAGCTATCTTAAGTTCCTTCAAGCCATTTGCTGAGGAAACACGGTCTATTCCAGTGAGACAACTGGACACATGATTGGGGAAAAAGGAGACATCCACATATGAAATTTCTTTGGTTTGTGATGGTTACTGTAGTAGACTCACATGAGGCCTCTTCCAAAAACCACAGAAGTCTACCAGAAGTTGAACCACACTGGGTATCCATTATCATGAGTTCTATCATAGTATATAAAGTTTTTAAGCTAGGTTGCTTTATACAAATGACTCACAACACAAAGGAAGAGAAGACACATTAACAGAAGAAGTGTGAAGATATTTAAGAACCAATACAAAAGGTTTGGACATAATCAGGGATAAGTGTATATATAGCACACCCATATGATGACCTTCTGGATATGGCACACATATAACATTCAACAAAGAAGAACAGTAGGAAAACATGAATTCTACTTGTATGATGAGAAAATGGGAAAGTTGAGATTTTTAAAGAACGACTGGTTTGAAATGTGTTAAATGAGGTAAACTGGAGGGTCTTTGACAGCATGTCACCAGTAATGTAGGCTAAAGTATAAGCATTTAGAGAAATACTATAGATTCAATTCAATTCAAACTCGGAAATAAGACTCCTAAAAACAACAAAGAAGAAAACACCTGAAGATCGAGTGCTTGCAAATGGAGATGGTGTAAGATGACATGGTCTGATGACATCATCTGAAATATGAAGAGTGATACTGTAGACAAAGAACAAGGAGAGAGATTTAAGTCAATGCAGCCAAAGTAGGAAGGGGCATGAGAGAAGCTCAACATGGGGCCAGAACACCAACTCACCCATCAATAAGGTAACAGCTTCATGAGAGCACACTAGTACTTACATAGAAGACTAAGTTCATTAGATGGAGAAAACCAAAAGGTTGAGAAAGGAAAGATACAGGCGGTTGTAAACTCTTGGAAGTAGCTTTTTTTCCCAAAGGTTAGAAAAGGTGAGGATTTGAAGTCCACAGAGAAAGGGAAGATTATTCTTAGGCCTGGGCAAAGGCAAGAGATGAAGGAAGGAAGTCTTTCTTCCTGTGCAGGGAGTGGGGAGCAGCAGTAGCCAACTTTATCACTAGGTTGAAAGGGGAAATAATAGAAACAAAACTGCTGTTTATATTGATGGTAAGTAACAGAGGAAATCTGGTTCCTCTTTCTATGAGTGGAGAAAGAATTTAGGAGAGATAATGCTTTAGAAGGACTGACTCAAGGAAGGAGGGGGGAGGGGGGGAGGGGGAAGGAAGGAGGGAGGGAGGGAGGGAGGGAGAGAGAGAGAGAGAGAGAGAATGAATGAGAATGTGTGTGTAGAGGGAACTTGAGGAGTATAAATGGCAATGTCAAAAAGGAACAAACTGACTGGGACTTAGCTCAGTGGTATATAGAGTGCTTGACTAGCATGTGCAAGACCCTGGATTCCAGCCCCAACACCACCCCACACACTCCTAAAGTAAAAGGAATATAAAAACCCTCCCATGGAGAGAAAATAGTAGGGTGAAAGGAGCTCAAAACTGAAGAATTACCTTCAACTTGTAATTCCTAAATATAATTAGCAATGCCAAGTTTACCTAGGTCTGTAATTGCCTGATTTCCTCCCTAACTCCATGCGTTCCCCATGGTCTTTCTCCTGTTTCCCATTGCTAGCCGGTAGATAAGGGCACCAAGCCTACTCAAATTAATCACAGAAATGACTACTCATTTTGATGTTATCTCTCCTATGCGTTTGATTCTAATTATTAAATTCTCTGAGGAACAAACTGGAAAAAAACAATTCCTGAGATGATCATTCTTTTCATGCTTAAAGGTAAAATTCACCCTACTACTGGGATCAACAGTAAATGTAAACCCTTCACTGATGGGAAAGAACTGCTTTGTACATTACCACTTTTCTTCCACAGCTGCCCCAGCGCAATCCAAGATGGACCACAGAATTAGGGATGGAATAAATGGAGATGCTTAAAAGGGTGGAATTAGAGGCTTTGGTCAAAACAAAAGAAAAACATAGGGTTTCCTTTCACTGAGTTCCATGTTCAGACAAATCCTTAAATTCTTTGTGCTTCCATATTATTATATCCCCTAATTTTAAAAGGTTAAAATACACCTGGGTGAGTTTTTAAGACATGAATAAAAAAGTTTAGAAACTCAAAAATCCCACGACCAAGTCAAGAAAACAAGCAATGTTCTGTTTTGTACATGCCAGTGGGGACAGACAGAAAGCTTTTAGGAAAATTGTCATTTTACCAGTACATCAAATAACAAGTTGCAAAACAGCCATTTCCCAAAGTTTATTCTTTGGAGCATTCAACCAGGAGAATCAGTTCTTTGAATCTATTAAATCTGAGAAATACACATGTACCATATGCTTTTCTTAAAAATTTGCTACAAATACAAATGGTTCTGAGAAATTCTTCAGGAAAGAAACCTAGTTGATGTGTCTCGGGTTCCACTCAAGCTTTTCCTAAACTTACCTTCAACCACAGACCTTTTTCTGCCTCCTAAAAATGTGTTTTGTAAAATGCCGTCCTAAAGATTAAAAAGGCTGTAACTGGTCCCCGTGCAGTTTATTGCATACACTGGAAAGAGGTTTGAGTGGTAAAGCATTCTGTGGTAGGAAGCTGGTGGTTGTTATTCATTTACAGATGGGGAAACTGAGGATTGAAGGGGACCACTGACTCGAATACTTTATAAAAGGACCACAGAGAGTGATCCATGAAATGTGGTTTATGCAAGTATTTCATAATTAATAATTCTGTATTGTATGCCTAAAATTTGCCAAGAGTAGATCTTAAACCAACAACTACAAGAGGTGATATGTGTGTGTTCATGAACCTGACAGTAATCATTTCAACCACACACGGGGACATCACATTGTATGCTATATCAATTGTGTATCAGTGAGGCTCAAAATATAATAAAATTTCATGCACTCTTCAAATACAAGATTGTAATTTCTCTAACAATGGTAGAGTCTGAAGGTGGGCATTTTTGTGTCTTCTTTTTGCAATCTGAGGCCACCTTCATGTGTCACAAGATGCACACTATAACAGTGTAATATGAAGTGCAAATGTTTATAAATCAGGTAGGTGGCTGACCCTACCAAGCTAAAAAAAGAAATTCGCTGAACCACTTATACAAATGTCTTAAGGAGCAGCAAAAGATACTGTTTCTTATCTGTACTAAGAAAAAGCTATGTATTTCTATACCTAAACCATTAAAATTGTATCAAGATTTCTCCCCAAGAGATACTGGTTTTTATTTTGCAGGAAAAGGACATTTAAACCTTCCATCTCCTATAACAATGATTTCTTAGGATCTTTAGTTTCTTTAATTGAGGGTAACTGACATACAATAAACTGCACATATTTTTCAGGGGAGGGAGTACTAGAGATTGAACCCAGGGATGCATTTAACCTAAAGGAGCTAAACCACTGAGCCACACCACCAGGCAACCACTGATCTGTTATCGTATATTTCTATGCTTTTTTGAAATTTTATATAAATGGAATGGTACAGCACATATTCTCATAGGTGAGGTCATCATGTTACTGAAAGTAGCAATAGTTCATACCTTTTCATTATTAAGAAGTATCCGTCATGTGGATACACTACAATTTGTTTATCCATTTACCTGTCAATGGACTTCAGAACTGTTTCCAGATCTTAGTCACACCTAATTAAACTGCAATGAACATTCTTGTACACGAGCTTTATTTCCTATGAGTGGAAGAGCTGAATCATATGGTAAGTGTATATTTAACTTTTGGAGAAACAGCCAAATTGTCTTCCAAAATGTGCCATTTTACATCTCTACCTCAGTGTTTGAGAATTCTAAATCTTGCACATCCTCGCCCACGCTTGATATGGTCAGTCTTTTTAATTGAGGCCATATGAATAAGTGTGCAGAAATCTCATTGCTTTGATTTACATTTCCTTAATGACTAATAAGGTCAAACACCTTTTCGTGAGCTTATCTGTCATTTGGGTATCTTAGGTAATTCATCTGTTCAGATCATTTGCCTGGTTTTTAGTTTTGTCATTTTTTTCTTACTATTGAAAATGCCATCAGTCTTGATAAGTAGTGTAAGACTGATAAGTACAAACTCAATATTTTACATAATTCATGGTACCCAAGAAGACAAAAAACTAAGAACTGGATGCAGTGGCACACACTGTAGTCCTGGCGATGCAAGAGGCTTAGGTAGGAGGATCACAAGCTCCAGGCCAGACTGAGCAACTTAGCAAAGCCTGTCTCAAAATATAAATTAAAATCAGGGCTTGGGGTGTGGCTCAGTGGTAGAGCACCCCTACATTCAATCCCCAGAACTGAAAGAATAAGAAACCTACCAAATTCACATACTATTTTCTAAATACTATGCTGAACTACACATTCTCTAAATATTATTACCAACTTGAAATTATTTTAAAGCTTGAAAAGGATTTACTTATATTAGTATTGCTGATTCATAACTTAATTAGTGAACAAAATAATTTTGTCAATGTACTTGAACTGTAGTATTTACTCCTCAATGTGAGCTAAACCACCATAGTTTCTGTCCCTAAGCCACATTTCAAACATCATACTAACCATACTCTAATGCCATGGATTATTTTATGAATATAATTTCTTATGTCAAACTAGGGCCCACATTTAAGCCAGATGCAGTGGTGTACACCTGTAATCACAAAGTCTCAGGAGGCTGAGGCAGGAGGATCCCAAGTTCAAAGCCAGCCTCAGCAACTTAGAGAGGCCCTAAGCAACTCAGTGATTGAGCACCTCTTAAATTCAATCCCTAGTTTTAAAAAAACAGCATCCACTTTTTGAAATTTAGGTGGATAATTAGGAAACTCATTATTTTCTACAATTAATACACACCAATAATAATAATACAAGACAAACTTTTAAAAAACTCTCATTGTTTGTGTAAGCAGTAGCAGATAAAATGTGATTTGCAAACCTGAGGACCAATTCCCCTATAAGACCTATAGCAAAGACAGCTGCAGGCTTTGCTTTGAGGAAAAGCAGGCCTGGTTCTGTTGGATGGAGCCATCTGTTATATAGAGCCATTGGTTCGAAGCTCAATTGTTACAGTTGATGTGGGTTTCCTTTTAGATGCCTGGAAAATGACTCTGCTGACCACATCCACATTCTGAAATACTTTTTGAGAACTTGTAACTGAACTGCAGGAACTGACTCATTTTGCTGTGCCCAGCCACCACATAATTGTTTCAAAAGAGATTCAAGTCAAATGAAGAAATATCAAGGGCTGAGAACACAGACAGCGAGTTGTCAAATATATGGGGGAGTAAAGGGGAAAATCCTGGGGCACAGGAGGAAAAATGGCTCAAGACCTAGGAGACCAAGACTGTGGTTGGCCTTAGAGGAAGAACCTAGCAGAGTATGCTACTTCAAGGACAAAGCACATGTTGCCCACAGGCCCTAAGGACAAGTCAGAAGTTGGTGGAAAGGAAAACTTAATGTCTGTCTTTATATATCACACCTAAAAGTAGATTTGAGACAGAGAGATGTACACAGAAGAGTTTGCAGAAGATAGTGTCTTCAGAGTCCATTCCTGAACTCCAAGCATGCTATTTGTCTTGCAAGACGTAAGCAGGAATGGACAATGTCCTGGACTCCTGAGATTAGGACCAGAAATTAGCCCTGGATTCCCTGGGGATCCCCTACACTCTCTCCTGTCCAATTTCTCCCATCTTTCTCTCTCTACTCCCAATGTGGCCCGACCAAGGAGCTTAATTTCCTCATAATGTCCCCACTCTCTTGTACTCTCTCAATACACAATTCATGCCTTGCTGGGAGGATGTAAAAAAACTAACTAGACCTTCCTACACATCACATTCTCTGTTCCTGAAGCCCTCCAAGCCATCATTTCTCCTTCCCACAAGTGAAACTGATTCAGTCAGTCAGTTTCAGCCAGAGGCGGTGAGGAAATCCGGTCCAGTTGAACTAGACTATAAATGACAAAACCAATAACTCTTTTTCTGCAGGTGGGTGCCTTGCTTAAAAAGAATATGAAGGTTAACTAAATGGAACAATAAGGAGTAAAACACATCAGGACAGATGGTATGATACATAAGTAGGTCTAAAGGCTCATGGGGTATTGGTAAGGAAGACCTGGACAACACAAATAGCTATAGAGCCCCATATGTGGTCAGGCCTGGTCATGGCCCCAGTTGTTTATAGAATGGGGTGTGTGTGTGCGTGCGTGTGTGTGTGTGTGTGTGCGCGCGCGCCTGTTCTTCCAAGACATGTCTCTTAACATTCAAAATCCAAGATGACAGAAACCACATGTAAAGTAGCAGTTTTAATATCAGATTGTGAAAATAAGATAGTGGCAAGGGGCTGTGATCACTTTATGGCAATCAACTCTACCTTCAAGAAACTGCAAATAGGTTTTTAACATAGCTTTTAAAGGAACAATATACTTATAATCCCATGCTTCCCAACTGGCCAAGTGTTTTTACTGTTCCACAGTCCCTTTCTGCCTTCAAAGATAAAAATCCAAGCAGTTTAACATTCTAAACAGTTTATGAGCAAGTGAAAAACCAGCAAAGGCATGCATGCCCCACGGAAAACAAATTTTTGGCAAATAAAAATATAACCAAAATACTCCATCACTAGATACTTCAGGTACCTCATATCCGAGTACATGTGGTAGAAACAATTACCCACTTTGAGCTCCTTGCCTAGATTTGTGCTTCAAATAGCTCAACTTTATCTTTATTCACCAAGCTTTTTTTTTAATAATTTCAACTACAAAAGTGGCATTTTACCAACAGAAAACCCAACCCAACTCACATCAACTTTGGTTATGAGGTACAGGGGATCCAAGTCTCTGGAAACCCCAAACAAATCACCTGAATCCTTGGAATACCATACTCCCTTCATTCTAGTTCTCATTTCCTACCTTCCAGCAGTTTCTCACTATGGCCAACAGGGTCCTACAGGTAGGTGTTGAAAGAGTTATGGGAAAGTATGGATGAAAGAATGAATGAATAAATAAGTGAAAGAATGAATGCAGGCAGGATTGGTATATGCTCCTATGGGTGGGCAAGCTTACCTCAGCTCAGGGATATTTTTTCCAGAGATTTCCAAGCATTTTGAACCCATGGGCTGCTCTTACGTTCCAAGTCAAATTCTCAAACTATACTTAAGATTAGTCGGAAACTGTTGATGTGAAACTCTTCCCCATATAATGAAAATTAACTCTTTACTCAACCACAAGGTTTTATGGGCACAGACACCTTCTTATAAGTCATGGCCTTGTAGAAAGCACCCAGAACTAGATGACAATAAGGAAGAAAAATATCAGTAAATACATATGCTTACTCAGTTTACTTGTTCTATGAATTAAATCTATACCAGATAGAAGAATGAATCTTTAGAAAGGCTACAAAGTGCATCACTAAGGCCCAAATGCTCACATATTCCTCCCTTCCACCCCCACTTTCAAGTGAAAACATTAGAGGAAAAAATAGGGGAAGTTACATGAGTAAATTTGTTAGTGCATGAGATCAACTGAAAACAAGGAATTCCCCTCCTAGACTCCAGTGACCTAATTAAAACTCATAAAGCACAAATGACTAAGACTGTTCCCATTGATTTGTAAAATAAGGGGCAGAAAAAGTCAATTTTGTATTTCGATATTCAGAGAGCCATGACTGAAAGATGTGACACTTTACAAGACTAGAAATCAGAAGGCCACTCCTGAGACTTTCGGGTTCAGTCGATTTTTTACTCTACTTTTATGTACTTACTATTTCAACTCTCAATAGCCTGTTTGGATTTAGATTCTGTTTCTATAACAGATAAGTGACCCCAACGAAGTTCCTTTACTTTTCCGTTCCTCGGTGTCCTTGTCTATAAAATGGGTAAGATAATTGTTCAGTAGGTTGCCCTGAAGACTAAATGGGTCAATGCAGGTGGAGTATAATCAATAGTGTCTACCCTAGATCACAGAAGGTATGTGACAAATGGCAGCTATCATCTTTATCTCTATTATGCTCAATCTGATATGAAAAGGGTTGTGATTTAGCATGGATCCATAGGCCTTGGGACTAAATTGAAAGGATTTGGTGCTGAACACCAGGTTCCTCAACATGTGTGGCCTTACACAACCACACCATGCACTAGTTCTGAAGCTCCATATTCTAGGGCTTAGGAAAACAAATGGACTTATTTACTCATCAGCTAGCAAGGGGCAAAGTGAACTTCAGGCACAAGTCTGCTTCTGTGCGAAGACTGTGCCTCTTATGGAATAAACACTTCCATGGATTCTGTGAACAGGTACCTTTGATGGGGACTGTGAGAACCAATGTCACATGCTTGATACTCATTGGAAAATGTCTAGAGAAAATGTCTAGAGGTTTGGGGAATTTTTTCCCCCTAGGCAATCAGAACTGTGAGAGCTCCCTGTAAAAGTTTTCCTGGGCCTTCAAAAATTCACTCCATTTCTCAATGTTAAGAACTCTAGTATACATGTGATAATTGAGAAAAGTCATTTAAAAAAATCTCTTCTACATTTCCTATTTAGGAAATGTAGGAGGATTCTGATAAGAGCACCAGCAATAGCCTTTCTACAACAGGCACACCTCAGAGAAATTAATTAAACTCTTCCTTGGCAGAATGGGGAGAGGCCTAAAACCTTAGCTTGCTCTTCATAATCAGTGACTCCACCCTCTACCTTAAAATAACTAGTTTCATTGCTTATTTTAAAGAGCAAGCTTTCACTTAATTAGATTGACCATTTAAAAGAGTTTATTTTGCTATTTACTACAGCTAAGAAAAACAGTGATTCAATTGTTGTACTGACTTATAAAAGCATATTAAATTCAACTTTTATATGTATCTAAACTGCTCCTTTAAAAAATTATCTAAAGAAAGCAAATTAACTATAATGATGTATTTGTATAACCACATTGTTTACAGTTAATAATGTGTGTGTGTTTTACTTTATGTTTTAGATTATCCTAAATACTTTGGAATGTATAAATTAGAATAAATATAGCATTGAAAGATAATAGGTTACAGTTGAGAATTTTAAAAACTTGAGCCAAGAAATGTCCAAAATTAAATCACATTCTTTAATATTTTGAACGATTGTTTTACACTGATCTTTCTTTTTCAAAGAAAAAGGGAAGTATTTTGCTAGTTCTCCACTTCTATCTAAAATGAAGGTCATTCATAAAATTATCTTAAGTTTTTGTCTTGCTTGTTCTTTTAATAATTTAAAATCTTCCTGAGGCAAATAACACAAATACTAATGAATTCATTTCTGACTTTTAAAATATGAAATAATTATATCCAAATTTGATTCTGTCTCCCTTCCTGAATATAGATATCCATTCTCCTAATTCTGACTAGAAAAAAAAATAAGTTTTCAAAGCTATGAATATAAAATAACAGCAAGGAAAATCCAGTGGGCAGAAAATTTTTCATTATGTATACCTGTCTGAAATTCACAGGAGGGAATGAGTTTGAAGATAGAGATCAAAGAAGTACATCTAGGACCTTTGAATTTGTTCAAAGATAAAAATACTACTGGTATTTGACTAAAATGTCAAACAAATAAGTAAAATATACAATGTCAGAAAGACACAAGAGGTAAGAAGAAATATTAAGCAGGGAAGATGAATAGGGAATTAGAGGGTAAATCTAAGAGGTATATATCAATTTGGAGTTTATTTTTTAACATGTGGGGACTACAGAGACACTTTACTTTTTTGAGAAGTAATGTTAAAAGTATCCTTTTGTGGATTCAGAGAGTCGTGAAGCTAAATTTTCATGGGCTGCCCAATTTCCTCCAAGGGCCCTTACTATCTCCCAGTTCAAGTCCCTTGCTGAAGAATGATCCCCTTCCAAGGCAACCAATGCCCTCACCAGAGCCAAGACCTCCTGCTGGAGAAAGGGCTCAGACATTGTCTACAAAAAGACATTTTCAACTATGCAAGAAAATTCCATGGGGGTTAACGGAAGAATTATTTCCTGTGTCTTACTTTTAAAAGCCAGTCAGGTTGATTTCATTGAAGGAGTTCGGATCCCTAGAACTCCCACACCTCCACCCAGGAAGACCTGTTCTAAGCATTCCACACAGGACTCTAGTAATGACCACAGAGGTGATACCATCATTCTGATAACACCATGCACAGTGTGACCAGGAATAAAGGAACCAGCTGAGAAACACCCCTCTGACTCAGTCAAGGGATCCAGTGCCAGGACTTCAGGCCTCTCTCAAATCTGAAACGGAATCATTAAGAGCAGAATGCAGCCAGACTGCTTGCTTCCAAACCTTGGCTCCATTACTTCCTGCCTGTGTTACTTTGGGTAATTTGCTTCCCCTCTCTGTTTATTGGTTTCTCCAAGTAAAATTGGACTACCAATCATGTTAAGGATATTTTTTTGTTTTGTTTTGTTTCAATTTAATACACTAAGAGCATTTTACAGCAAAATACATCTACTGAGTATCTACTATGTGCTAGGCACTGTTCCAGACACCAGTGATATTATATTATTAAAAGATAAATTTAGAACAGTGCCCAACAGATAATATTGAACCCAATGTACATTAGTTGTTGGAGGGCCACAAAACTATCTGTCACTCAAGATTGATTATTATATAAGGGTAGAAGGTAAATATTCTCTATATGTGTAACTCCAGGGGGATCTGATATAGTATTCCATATTCAAACACATTAATATTTCTATGAGAAAACACAAGAAGACTCATATTTACTAGGCTAAAAAAAAGACTACAACTAGCCCTGGTAAGTTTAGGTTTGCTGTCCTTTTTTAAAATTTTCAAAACTTTTTGGATTTCAGAAGAAATGGTGGGCACATATTATTAAAGGGGCAAAACCCACTGAGATCTTTTTCTTACTAACTTCTGGTGGTGCAGGTGACAAAATAAACTGCCAAAATCTTTAGAGGCAGAAAATAGGAAGTCCTTCAGACATGAAAATCCACCACTGCATAATTAATCTATGCCACATATTGGTCTAAACAAGCCCTCCCCTCAAATACAGTATTCTACAGATCTTCAGTCAACCAACTCAAAAAGGGCTTCTTCCCACAAGTAATTTTTGATTAGGATAAAATAAATTTTTAGTAGTACAACCTTGTCTTTCCCACAAGAAGACAAAAGCTATTGAATGACAAATGAACAACTGGTTTAAAAACATGTGTCTTGCAAGAACACAGTGCCCCCTTGTAGTCATCCTAGGGGAGGTGAGTAAATGTTATGCCAAAGTGGCAAACCATCCTGCTGCTACCAAAGGAATTTTCTCCACATTGCATTTTAAGGAAGTATTTGCAGCTCTTGAAGAGCTATACAATAAATGGTTCAAGATGTTCTCACTGCTGGTCAGTACTGAATAAAAGATTTGCACAAACCCATGGAAGTTGCCTTCTCCTGCCTCTTTATTGCCCCCATATGTTGTTATTTATCTTCCTCAACTTCTCTGACCCCTTCCCATTGATTTTTATACCGAGGTATTGCTTTGTTCCAGACCTATGTTTACCACTCCCATGGTGATCCTGTACACAAAGACAAGTCGGGAAGACATGAAACGAATGGAGATGCTTATGTTGCTTCATGGTTTTTCCCCTTCTCATTATCCTCCTACTCAATGAGACTGTAGTGGGAGGTCTCAATGACATTTCCAAACCGAGAACTTAAAGCTACATTTCAACACCCAACTACTCAGTTGTCATAGGAACAACACTGTGAGGCTTATCTGGGTTCCAACAAACAGGCACTTGTTTCGCTGGTGATTACAAAGTTCCCCCTTTAAATTAAAAAAAAAAAAAAAAAAAGTCTAGAGAGAGAGATACACACACACAACCCCCTCAAAGAAGAATTTATTTGGGCAGAACTATATATCACCCCAGCTTATGAAAAAATTAAAAAGCCCAAAAGGAAAAGCATTTTTATTCCTGAATACGCAAGACTCAAAGACTATTTGAGAGAAATTATTTTGAAGTTGGTCCCGATTCCCTTTACTTTGTTGTTTTACATGCCCACAAAGACATATGCAGGTCATTAATGTCTCCTGGGGGAGAATTGAGGGCAATGCTATGTCATTCATTTTAGATATACTTTTAAAAAATAAAAAGAAAAATGAGAACAGAGATTGGCAAATAAAATTAAAAACATGAAGTTCTCAAATAATTCTTTTGATATATACTTTCTATCCTTTACTGTCCAATGAACTTCCATCACACTTTTATATACAAAACTCAAGACAATGGCTTCTAAATGGATAAGGAAAACCTACAATATTTATAGAGGCTTTTTTTTCATCAAACAGGACAATATTTAGCCAGATTATTAAACTGGCATGTATTTACATGAAATACAAAATTGAAAACAATTTTGAGACACTGAACACACAGTAGCAATAGAATATAAATTATCTGGGAAAACTTTTATGCTTTGTCACCATTTTTCTGTCTCAAAGACTCCAAAACCTATAAATTCATGTGATTTAGGGAAACTGGGCCCACACCTTAATTCAGTCAAATGACTTGTGATATGCACAAGTTTGCATCACCAATTCTCTGATTTATTGGGGGAACTTCCCTTCACAGTCATGGTTATCTTGTCTTTTTATTTATTTTGTTGAAAACAAATATATAAATAGAAGTCTTGAGAGCTATTAGTGTGAGAAAAATGATCTTTAAAATCCTCAAAGTATATAAAAGGGAAAAAAGGGCAGTGAATAGATTCATCTTCCTCTCTTGCACCTTCATGTCACTTCACTGATGACAAAAACTGCTATCCCTTTCAATTTAAGAAGTAACAGAATGGAAACCAAAAGTCAGAAAGGTTGTATCAACTTTGAGTTTGGCATAAGGTGCTTAAAAATAAATAAATACTTTACATCCTAGATAATCCAAAACATATAACTCTGTAATTTTAATTATATGTATTCACATTCACAAACGGAGACTACCATAATTGTATATGTAATTGCTAGCAGTTTAAAGATAAAATATTTTTTCCATCTGATTCTATGTTAAGTAGATATCACATGATTACATCTAGTGACCAATAAGAAACTGGTAAAATGAGGTGGCACCCACCATTCTAATGTTCTTATTCACTTTTTGGTACAATCTTTTTGGTACAATCATTCTTAAGAAGCCAAATCAGGCAATCAGACATTCATGCCTAATAAAAAAAATCGTTGTTTTCTTATAGTTCATGAATAAGAACCTATAATATAAACACAGATATTCAAAGCTTTATTATATTTTCCTGGAAACCTAAAAACATAGGAGCAGCTCATATGCAACATTCGACCATACAGAAAAATAACCATCCTCTGCTGTACTAATGTAAGCAAATAGAACAATCTTAAAACCTATGACACGAATGCAAAAAAAAAAAAAAAAAAAAAACCCCACAGGGCCAACCCTGTTACCATCATAACCTGCCCTTCACAATCAGGAGATGTTTCTGATACACCACTTCAACTTTGAATTTGTAAAATTCTAATGAAATAAATATTTGATACCCCAGAATGGGAAAGGAGGGCTATTCTGAAGGCATTCCTTCAAATTCTATATGTACTATTCAAACTAAATGGAAGTCTATATCCATGGCAATTAATGCCACAACTCAAACAGCCCATTTTGACTTTATGCTCCCCCTGCCACAAAAGGGGGTGGGGGCGGTTAGCAAAATCTAGTTTTATTATATATGTCTGTTCAAACTAGGAACACTCAGCTTGTTTTTGTTAATTGCCTGGCCTTTTCTAAGCCTTTATGCTATATTGCTGGGCTGCTGCTTTTAAAACTCCTCCTTCTGTTTATGTGTGCTCTGCTGTACATAGTTGTTAGGGGTCTGTGAACAATTTTGCAATTCCCACACACACCATATGAGATCTATTAGGGAGCAATGCCACTTTTCACTTACCAATTCTGGATAAAGCAGTCTTTCCTGGTGACAGAATGCTCCAGCTTCCGTTTGCGAAAACTCCCTCTTCGCATCTTGATAAATCTGATAATAAAATGTCTTTGTTCCTGATCACAGGAGGCACTTTTCCCTTTTCCTACAAAAGTTTTCTACGGTTCATTCCTGTGACAAAACAAATCAGAACAAGGGTGGGGGGGGGGCAGGGAGTAAGTCTACACAAGTTCCTGGCAAAGATTTTCGGCTGCATTTTTCTGAGTTTAATCAGTAAGCTATATTAAAGTGACAGTTACCAGTTCAGGAAGCCAGTTTGATCAAGTCAGCCACAACCAGTTTTGAGTGTCTTCCACTGGTGTGTGGACCCCAAGGAAGCAGTCACTTGGTCATCTATCACATGTGGCTGAATCACTGGACAGACCCCACCCCCCCCTCCACCCCTGTTGAGCAGCATCCCAAGCCCGGAGAGCAGCCGGTAGACAGACCCCGGGACCTCTTATAGGGACCCGCCAATTAGCTGCTGACCAATAGCAGCCAGCACCTAGTACCTAAGTCACATGACAGGGCAGTCCCTTTGACTGCAGGATTTCTGAATTACTGGGGTTACACAAAGGACACTCATTCAGGAAAAGAAAAAAAAGGCATAAGCCGAAACAGAAAACGCCCTGGCTGCGACAACTCCAGCTTTAAAAGAAGGAACACCCTAGGCTCATACAGAGAAAGAGCCACAACAAGCCAGGATGGAAATCAGAAGAAGACTGTCTGGCACATATTAAAAAATAAGCCCAAAGCAGAGGCTGAGTTTACAAATCCACTTCAGCTATAAACCTACTCTTCATTCCCCTTCCTCTCTAGTCTCTCTTGACAATTTTTACATTCTAAACTTCTTCATTTTAAAAAGCTCCAGCGAGCCTCCAAAGTCAATGTAGGAAAATGTGTGAGCCTCTCTTCTCATTCCCTCAAAAGACACCTAAAGGAGACTCAAATTTGCCACAAAAAGGTTCCCAAATGAAAGACATTTATTTTAAAATAGTTGGAATGAATTAAGCAAAAATTAAACATTGCCCGGACAAACTACCAAACCATTCATACAAACATATCACTCTCTCCTATAATCCTTTTGGACTGTCCACATCTAGAATATTCTTGTTAAATGCATAAGCCCACTTCATGAACTAGCTTCCAATTTACTTTTATTTTAATACCCCCAATTTCTCTCCTCAATACTTCCTACATCCTAGGAAGAAATTCAACCGTAACCACCCCTAAAATTCCTCCAACCTCCAAAAGTGGTACTTACAAATGTTCCTTGTTTGGATCTGTCGCTTTCTTCTCCACCACCAACCCCCGACCCCACCCCACATCTGAAGTCAAAACATGGGCTCAGCTCCTTCCTTCAAACCTAGAGGCCCTATTTTATCATGCAAGACTGCAACAGTTCCTTCTCTGAGGCAAGCCCGGAACACTGTGCTGCTTGCCATTCCCAATTTATGGAAGGAAGCGTATGTCAAACAAACCAGGTGATGACTCAGACTGCCTCCCCCGGCCACGTTCTCCCTAGAATGGGAGGGTAGTGTAAGTGCAGCCCATTTGGATGTGACTCAGTTTTATTAAGACTGGTGGTTGTAGTTGATCTGACAAGCTCACATTTTTCTTTTATAACTTGTACATTTAAGGATCAGAATGCACGTTTCTAATTGGTTTCAAAGAACGGGATCATGTAAACAGGAAAGTTGGAAGATTATTTTTTAAGATTCAGCAAGGCTCTGGTCCCATTCACTAGTATGTAACATTTCAAAACTGTGCACCAGAAATTTTACAATTGGGACAACTAAACATTTGATTTTAAGCAACAATGATAAACAGGTTTAATACGGTTTTAACTTTCTCTGCCATCTTTACTGGGGGACTCAGACTCAGTTCTGAGGAGCCAAATTAAAGTCTTAAGTCTGGGGCCCACGAGGCAGGTTCTTCAGGAAGTGGTCAGGAACATGAGAGCCATGTTGTAGCTTTCACTTTTGCATTTACTGCAATTCACACTTAACCTGACCTACACATATTCTCTCTCTCTCTCTCTCTCTCTCTCTCTCTCTCACACACACACACACACACACACTCACACACACAATGCCATCACACTGCAATGAAAATCTCTAAGATCCTTTAATCCCAACCTGCCTAAAAGCTACGAGATAAAAACTTGAATATCCCCAAATGGTAACTGTAAAGATTCCAATTAAATCAATGACATGGCTCAAGAGTCTTTATCTTCAGTAAAAAGTTTACTACTGAGATGGGCAGGACACTACATGAAGTAAATTGTTCCCAGGTATTATGCAGACAGGAAGAATGCAGTAATAAGAAATCCAATTCCCCACACAAAAAAATCTGGAAGGCTCAGGCTGAGCAGTTTAACTACAGTTATCTTTTTTCTGCATACTTCCTTTAACCTTGAGCAAAGTCAGCAACTGCTCTGACCAAGGCTTGGCATTTATTGTTGATTACGCCTTGATGGACAGCTCGTTTTGTTATAATGTACATCATACATTCTATTTTTGTAACATAGGAAAATGCTCAAATGTCTAATTTTTAAAATCACAGATAAGGGCAGAGAAAAGTTACACACACTGAGACGGTATGAAACAGCTAATTCAGGAGTTGACTATTCACTTACAAAAAGATTCCCGGTAGGATTTTACTGAAATAAATACCACATTAAATTTACATATAGAATTGGTTTTCAGAAATTAAACTCACAAAACAATTTAGAAGTGTTTCCAAATTATACTTTTGAAGCCTTTCTATTTTAACTACGTGCACATATTTCTCACCCAGTTATTAAAACTTATTCATACTTCAGCAGGGATGCATTAATCTAAGCCACTGGCTTTTCCTGAGTAAAATTTTATTGGCTTAAAGACAGTTACCTTCCTATGATACACAGAGAATATAAAATCTATAATTATATTGCTTTCAATGGAAATAAACACAGGCTATGAAAACAGAATGTTAATAAAAATCAAACAACTAAAACTCTGGCATCTAATAGGACCTATATCTTTTTTAAAAAAGTCTGGCTTCTGAAGTCAGACTTGCTAGGATTTGAATGCTGTTTGTACCATTCCTAGCTGTGGCACCTAGATTAAAAAGTTCCTATGTGCAAGTGCTGAGAACAGTGCCCGACTCTGGAGTCATACACTGCTCCATGAATGAGGTTTCTGAATAAGAAAAATACAATTCCACCACTTTTATTTTTAAAGGCTCACTTGTAACTACTTTACTAATGATGACAAACAACACCTAACCAATCCATATTTTCCTCCCAAAGCTTCAATAATTGAAATTATAGTCCAGTTTTACATCTAAGTTTGGGCCTTCCCCCCAAACTTTATGAGGAGTCTCCTAAAGCCAGTGCAGAACTGAGCCTGGGCTACCAAAGGCAAGCCTCGGGAGGGCAGTCAAAACACTGGAACTGTCATACCCAGAAAACAAGGCAAAAGAGTCCAAGGTTGAGGGGGGATGCCACACTACAGCCCTATGACAGGCAGACCATTCCCCCCCCCTGACATCAACAGGTGTCCCCAATCAGAGGCACGGGGAGTGAGGTATAAACCCAGGAGGAAAAGCACTTGAGGTTCACTGTGTCCTCTCTCCACAGGGTCATGCTTAAACCCCACCACATTTATCCCAAGGGAAACTCAGAGTTGGGTGGGGAACCTCAGTATACATTCTCTTCTACACTGTCTTTCATTAAGAAATTTCACTTCTTAAAGGGGCAAACAGCCCAGGTTTCCATCTGAAAGCTATATGAAGCAGTTCAAGCATCCCACAAGCCCTTGGGTAACAAAAGCTAATAGTTTCCAGTAAGCATATAACATATTTGAAGAATGATAAAAAGGACAGCAACCAGACATTTCTGAGGCGCAGGCAAGCTTTATAAATATGTAACTCCTCAAATATGGTGCTCTGGGGGAGAAGAGTGTTTTGTTTGAGGGCGAGCAACTGCTCCAACTTGTCTTTATCCAGGCAATATTTCAGAGACAGATGGTAACATAATGGGGGGGAAGCCAGCAAAATGGAGAGGGGGTGGGTGGGATTACAAATGAGTGCTGGGGGAAGGCCCAATGCTCTTCCCCTCTGTGTGGGAGCTTGGTTTGAAGGCACACACAGACCTAATTCAACAGTTCAGTGAGAGGCTGGTTTTGAGTTCCAGCAAGAAGCTTCCTCTCCATACGCAATCCCTAAATTACCACAAGATCCCACTGTGTCAGGGTCCCAGAAACCAAAAACTACAGGTTAATTATGTGAAGACAGCCAGCCTGGGTCCCCATTCCAGTTCTATGACTATTACCTGTGAGGACCTGAGAGTCACCTCATCGCTCTTTTGCTTCATCTTGAGAATGGGAATCAGCGAAAAACTACAAGGAATTTCTACCTGCCACAATAATGTTCGCCACTATCAACAGCTCACTGAGCAACCACTCCTTCCAATTCCCAGGAGTCGGGGGACAATCTCAGGTTTCTAAATCACGATGTTCATTTGAAGGCAAATAAAATGACTTTATCACTTAGGTTTTATATGATCAAAAATCCTTAGAGAACTACTGTATTCATTTTTTTTTTTTATTATAGCAAAGTTCCCTACTTTAAAAACAAGTAAGCTTTGTACATAGTGGATGGAAGATTTCCAGTATTACAAAAACTTTTCATAGAAACCTGCCGCCATGGCTCTGTGTACACCTTTACAGACATGCACACAAACTATGTCTAGGTTTATATAAGACACTGGGAACATTGTCATTATGAGGGCTGGCCTCTGTTCCAGGCTTTTCATGTTATATAAGGAGCCTCTTTGCCTGTCTTCCTGTAATAATTTCAGATCTAAGCTGTATACTTCACTCAGGAGTTTTTATTAGTTGTCTTCTTTCCCCACCCATTTTAAAGAAAGAACTGACTCAGTTTTTTGATGGCAACACCACTGGGTGGGAGTGAATATGGGAGTGGGCAGGGTGGGAGAAAGGGAGGAGGAGGAGGAGGGGGAGGAGGAGGAGGAGGAAGAGGAGGAGGAGGAGGAGGTGGGAGCCAAGAGCTGAATCACAGCCATGTGAGTAATCTTAAGCTTTTTTTTTTCTTCCTAAGGGTATGAATCAAATTAAGCTTGTTTTGCTGTGGGTAAAGGAAGGGGAATATAATAATAGCGTGAATCAGAGCAATTATCAAATATGCGGCACTCACTAAAAATTAATTACAACCACTGATTTCTCTTGCCAAGTCTGCCAAAAGATGCCAGAGAGCTTTTGTTAATCACTATAATCCTTGACAAAAATTCTTAAGGGTTCGAACTCGATTATCACCCTCTTCCCTTTAAAAATTTTCTTTTACATGTGAATTTCAGAAACAGGAATTATTTTGGAGCTTCTGTGAGATAATCTTTGGCCCTTGGAGGTAAGTGTGAAAACAACTAGGATAATTCGGGGTAGGGACTAGGTTATGCACTATCTAGCCACAAGCACTGCTAGCTACGTACTGAATTTATGAAGACAATTGCTCAGAAAATGACTTTAACCTCAAGAGCATTCCAAAGCGAATGCTGCCTCAAATGAAGAACCCTCAGGAAAAAGTGGGCATTCCTGTCCCAATAAATTTGTCCTAGGAAAATATTGAGGTGCCTTAAACTGAAATAAGTGAATCCTCTTGTATTTAAGAATTTACTAGGAATAAGAAAAAGATGGATCAAAAGATATAAATATCAGTTTGGGGGAATTTATATATGCATACTACTAGTGATAAAAATTGGCTATCTAAAAAGAAAGGCTTGAAAAATCCCTGGGTAACCTAGCATTAGGAAGTCAAGAGACCTTTTAATTTTTCTTGTTTTTTCCCCCAGCACTGGGTATAGAATCCATGGTAGGTACTATGTTCTATCACCGAGCCACATCCATGGCCTAAAAGGGTTTATTTTGAATTCTCCTGAGATTTTATAACATTTTAATTATATCAACAAGCTAAAAATGCATGGTCCTATTGGTTACCTGCCTATGATTTTCTTGTCTTTTAAACCTAAGTACACATATTCTATATATGAGTAGGCAAATGTTCTTACAGAATGGTAGGTACACAGGACCTCAAACAAAACAATGCCATTATCACACTGTGACAGTACCTTTACTTGGGTCTCCAAATAAATTATTTCAAGGCTTTTAAACTTCTATGCATTCCTGAGTTTAGAAATGTTAATCTGTAACAATGAGCTATTTGAAGATGACAATCTGCAAGCACAAGTTCACATCTCTGAAATTTTCCCTATGTAACATTAATATTTGGAAATCTTAAGATGCTATTTTTTAAAAAAATCCACAGATATTATCAATCATGTGTTCATATAAAATATACCAGATCTGTGTTCAGACTGGGTAAATTGGCTATCTCTACCCATCCCCCTCAGCAAACTTAATATATTACAAGGTTTGACTACTTTTAAAGGCAGTATTCTCCTAGCTTAGAATCTCTAACTTCCTATACAATAGAAACAATATTCTCATGCCAAATTTTTTTCACATCCTGATCTGTGTCTCTCATAAAGAACTAGAAGAAATATCCAATTCATATTTGTATTCTTTCTCTCTCCTCCCCCCTTTTAAAAAAATGTTCTAAATAATAATTACAGGGGAAGACACTGAAAAATGGGTCTCATCAATTCTCAGGAGCTTTGAGTCTTCTAAAGATAAGAGTCCTTGGATAGTCTGTATGGGTTTTTCCTGCTCCCTAGTACACCAAATGTTTGAGGCTGAGGATGGTGGTGGGTGGGAAAGCTGCCACTCTGATAGATTAAATGGGAGAACCAGAAGTCTCAAAGGCATTATTGATGCCAAATGGAAATGAATTTAAGACTGTTTATAATCAGTCACTTAAGTATGCTGATGTCACGTGGTTAAGGATAAAAAAACAGCAGCCAGGACAACTTAGGGAGCAGGTACCTGAGCAAGGACAGTGGTTGGGAAGGATAGGAAGGTGGTAGGTGACCTTGGTTGGGAGGTGATTAAGTCAGAGGAAGCAGTAGTATTCAGACTGTGGACATAAGTAGATGAGGACTCCTCACAATACAGACCACACTCTGGAAGTCAGACCTCCTGGAATAGAAGAAAATACAGAGTGTCCAAAAGTGAAAGGGAATAAATAAAGAGAAATAAAAGAAACGAGAAAAGGAAGGTACTATCTCATATGAAGAATGTTTGACTTTAATAATGAGCTTCAGCTTCCAATCTTATGCCTACCAAGTCCCTGCTTTCATAGTTTTCCCACACCAGCCAGACCTCTCAATTCACTCCTGAATTTGTAGGATCCATCATTACACTCTCCAAGACATGGCCAAGTCATCATTTAAAAAAAAAAAAAAAAAAACTGCAGCCTATGGGAAGATAATAAGTAAAATGGAGAGGGGTGTGTTTGTGCCTGAAAACAGGAAGAAAATCCTATCGTGTGGAAACTGGACTGACACCCTAAGCTGAGAAAGGTGTGAGAAAAATTCTGGGCTAGAGACCTGGCAGGGCAATGGGGTGGGGGCAACCCAATGAGTGGTTAACCTCACATCCCTTCCAAGTGCAATTCTAGAAATATCTGTTGATCTGTATTTCAAGTTTCTCAAAGAGCATTTTAAATCATGCTAAAATGATTTCTTCAAAAGCAAGTCATGCTAAAGCAAAAACAAGGCCATCAAGGAGTTTTAGGACACAAATTAATTCTTGAAAATGTGGGATTGTTTTTTTTTTTTTTTAATTTTTAAAAAATATTTTTGGTTGCAGATGGTCACAATACCTTTATTTATTTTATTTCCTTATTTTTATTTGGTGTCCAGGATTGAACCCAGTGGCTCACACATGCTAGGCAAGCACTACCACTGAGCTACAATCCCAGCTGCCAAAATGTTTTAACCAAGGTGATTATTTCTTCCATGTCATGGCAATCAATGTATGAGTCCCTCTATAACACCTATGTCTCTGATCTGGCAACCCGTGTCTGGCTTTATGACAAAAATACCTTTTCTCTCTATTCCTAGATGGTATATTAAAAACTGCAAGTGCGCTATATTTGTGCAAGATGTCGCCACAGGAGGAAACTGGCTGATGGATACCTGAGACCACTCTGTACTATTTTTATGACTTCTAAGGAGCCTATAATTATTTCAAAAGTTATTAAGCAAAAGTTGCCAACTGTCTCAAAAAGTTATCCTCAAACTAATTACAACAAATGAAAAGTCAAATCTCAGTACTAGATAATTAGTCCCAATCCTGCCAGTTCTCCACTAAATACTGGAGAAAGACATTTCTTTGAGAAATCAAAGGAGTCTAAAACAAATGTCTAGCCAAGTTATATTCATTATCTTAGAAACTTAAATGCAAACTAGTAACTCTAAATAACAAAATTAAGATTTATAAATTAGTCTTCCAATTCTAAGATCAGGAACAGAACCCCATACTATTCTATCCCAGCTGAAACACTGTACTGATCTTAAGACTCTCCATTATTTTAGACACCACCGGGAAAGAAACAAATTTAAACAATTAACTGATATAAAGTCTTAAAGACAGTCTTGGGTCACAGTCCAACTAGTTTAGCGAAGTTTCTTCTGGGGTATTTTGGCAATTTCTTCTGCCTTCAGTTGTACTGCTTGTCATACAAAACGTAACACAGCTACTTCTTTTTAGGTGTTGCTTTGAAGGTAGAATTTCATTCATTTCCAATAACAAACATTTGCTTCACTAACACCAACTTAACTCCTTTGCTGTTGTCATGCCTTTCTATATACACAACAACATTGTTTCAATGTCAATAAACATGCACTTCAAAGAGTAATTTTATTGAGAGCATAACAAATGGCAGGTACACTCTGTATGTAGATCCAACAATACAAAGAACTCAAACTGTTCACCTTGTGAACACCTAAGGCCAACTATGTGGATGCATGGGCAACAGCAATTGCATCATGACGATTGCCAGGGAGGTGGCAACTGAGAGGCCCAATCCATTCAGACATTCATCCCAATTTCAGCAATGATCAAATTACCAAAGGGATGGAAAGAATGAGTGTCTTAGAATACATGATATGTCATAAATGCCAATGGTTCTCTTCCAGGAATAGATTACAGGAAATGTGTATTTTCTATAATTTATTCCTCACCACTGTGCTCAAGAAATTCAGTCATTCATTCAAAAAATCACTGTGCTAGGTTCAGGGAGGATACTGAAATGAACAAGAGATAGTCTCTGATCTAATGGAGTTTCCAGTTGGGCAGGGAAAGAAATACAATCAAATAAGTGCAGACTACACTAGCTGGTAATGAGTGCTCAGACAGAATAGAGAAGGCAGACAATCCCAGGGTGCAAACAAGGGTAGTGGCGAGGTGGCTTTTGTTTTCTTTACCATTGACTAGTGAAGGATGATCTCTTACCAAATAGCCACAGAAGTGCTTGCTTCCATAAATATCTGGGAAACAAATGAGGGTGGCAAGGCAGAAAGAACTGCGCAGGAACACTGAGTTGAATGTGCCTGATTGACTATATGGACAGTAAAAAGTCTAGTGTCATCAAGGCAGAACAATCAAGGGAGAAGGAAGAGAGGGATGGGGCTGGCGTTGTGGTTCCACAGTAGCGCACTTGCCTACCACTTTACCAGTGTGAGGCACTGGGTTCTATTATCAGCACCACATAAAAATAAATCAATAAAATAAAGGTGTTGTGTCCATCTACAACTAAAATAAAAAAAAGAGAGAGAGAAAGAGATGAGTTTGATTACGCTTGGAAGGCAATGGGGAGGGCAGATCACATGCAGTTTCAGAGTTTATTCACTGTCTTTACACAGGCTATGGGTCTTTATTCTGAGAAATAGAAAACCATGAAGCTTCTGATCAGGAGAGTGGAATGATCTAAAGATCTTTGGAGGGAGTAATAGACAGCTTTCTATTACTGTAACAAAATACCTGACATAATCAACTTACAGAAAGTTTACTTCCAGCTCACACTTTGAGGTTTCCATTCATTTTGGGTTGGTTGAACCCTCTGCTTTAGGCCTGTGGTAGCATAACACTGAAGAAGCTGTGGTAGAGTAAAATCACTCACCATATGAACAGGAAGAGAACATAAGAAAAAGGAAAGGGGAGTCCACAATCTCCTTCAAGGGTTCAGTGACCCAAAGATTGTCCTCCCTCTAAACCCTACTTCTTAAGTTTCCACAACCCCCTAAAAACTGCCACCAGTTGGGAACCAAGCCTCTAATACATGGGCTTTTGGGGGGACATCCAGATTCATACTACAGCAGAGGATGACTCCAAAAGTGAGAATTAAACAGGGGACTCAAGTTGATTAATCCAGATGAAGCATGACAGTGGCCTGTCAGAAGTAGACATACTACATAACTAGGGTAGGCAGGGTATGGCAGGAGCAGGGAGATGCATAGAGGGAAATGAAGATATAGACATGCTAGATTTGAGATGCCAATTAGGAAAGATGCTGAAAGGGCAGTTGAAATTGAGCCAAGTTATGAGATGAAATCATCAGCATCAGTGTTCATTCAGGTGGCATTTCAAACTGAAACTCTAGGTTGAAGTAACAGGAAGATCAACCAAGGAGACTGACAAGGAACACCCTCCCAATAGGTGGTAGGCAGAACACCAAATGTGGCATCAGGAGACCAAGTAAAGAAAATTATTTAAAGAGGACATGATTACCTGGGTCAGATCTTGCTGTCAGGCTGAATGAGCCACGGACCAGGGACTTAACACTGAATTGAAAAATGTAAAGCTCCTAGGCTCTCCTGCCAGGGCCATTCTGAACGAAGAAAGAGAACAGAAAGCTTCAGTGGAGTGAGGCCTGTAGAGTATGGGAGGAGAGGTAGGTGCGGCAGTACACAGAGATAATTCTTTCCAAGAGAAATAGCACACTGGCTTGAAGGGGATGTGGGTGGTAGAACAGATGACACCAGGGAACATATAGATAACTGCAGGGACCTCACTGGCAAATGATGGCATCCAGTACACCAGAGAGGCTGGCCTCCAATGGGGCAGTATAGGAAAGTAATTTACAAGCACCTACAGAGGGTGCCAGTAGACTCACAAGTAGGACAACCAGGAAGTTTTCTTCAAATTGTGCCTAATTTCCACATGATGTGTGTTTAAGACCTTCTCTTTTATATATATAACTTTATTTATTTTTATGTGGTGCTGAGGATCGAACCCAGGGCCTCACATGTGCTAGGCAAGCGCTCTACCACTGAGCCACAACCCCAGCCCCTTAAGACCTTCTCTTAAGACATGGATTACTTTATTCTTCTCTGTGACATTATTGCTGCTACCACATTGGATATACTAAGCCCCAGTCCAGCTTTTTAAAAGTAACTAAGAAACAGAAACACTTTATTGTTTATGTTACCCAGAGTGACCTGTAGCTATAAATTGAAATATCTGGCAAATAGGAAACCACAAGCATCAACAGAGTTATGAGTGATAAATGGTGCTTACTTTTTGTTTGCACAGCTAAGAAACAACAATGCACTCTAAGCAAAGTGCATCAATACAGTCTGCCACAATGGTGCTCCCCTGTAATCCCAGCAACTTGGGAGGCTCAGACAGGAAGATCAAAAGTTCAAGGCCAGCCTGGGCAACTGAGCAAGACATGTCTCACAATAAAAAAAAAAAAATGGGGGGTGGGGATATAGCTTGGTGGTAGAGCACCCCTGGGTTCAATCTCAATACCCCCCAAAAAACTATTAATGCTAATACTACAAAGCCACTACAACAGTTACAGTGTATGTACCCTTTGTATCTTAGTAACATTGTTTAAAAACATCCATCTACATGGCGTATGCCTATCTATCACCTGGAATTACAAGACAAACTTCAGACTGAGTATTTCTCTGTTGGTGATGCCAATCAGGATACCTCTTAGAAGATGGCAACTTAACAGCACCAGGAACAGTCTATCTGTGACCACACAACAGAGGCTGACTTAAGTTCTTAAAAATTGAGGACATCAGACTATCACTGAGCAACTCAAGCCCCAAATGAAGTAATTATCTGCACATGAAATAATCATTTATTGAAAAAATGTCATTTGCCAGGTGACCATGAAAAGCAGCACAAAAATTCTTAGATTGTTCTTGGTGACCAAAAAAAAAAATAAATCAATTGGCTACTGTAATTAGTGTATCCCAGAGGAAAGAAAGTACAATGAATTGAAGAATACAGACTACCTGGGGTCAAATCCCAAGTCCACCATTTACAAACTGCATATTTTTGGGCAAATGACTTAACCTCTGTGCTGTTTTCTGTCTCTAAAATGAAGGTAGCCAATAATACCTATTATGTAACTTATGAGGAAGACTAAATTGATTGTTATGTGCATCCATTATAAACTCATAATTCTTCACCCACTTTAAAAATTTTTTATTGGTTCTTTTTAGTTATACATGAGAGCAGAATCCCTTTTGGCACAATTATACAAGTATAGAATATATGTTATTCTACGTAGAGTCCCATTCTTATGGATGTACATGATGGTGGGATTCACTATGTTGTTTGCATACATGTATGAGGGAAATTATGTCAAATTCATTCCACAGCTTTTCACCTTAAGATTTAACTGGCCACAAAAAAAAAAATTAGTATAAGGGACTTTGTAGGAAACTCACAAAATCAGGGCATAAGGATGTGCTATATCCTTGAGGCACCAATTAGATTACAAAATTTGAGTATAAATAGGTAATTTGCATAAGTAAATATTTAAATTGTTTTAATAGGTGAACAAAACTATAGTGAAAATAACATTACAAAATTCACATTTTAGGATAACAGAGAGACTAGAAGTAAATTGTATGTTTGCCTTGAGGCCCTTTCATCTCTAAGGTTTCCTGTTTTTCTATGGAACTTCAGAGGGTCATTGGCATAAAACATTGTCTACTGAGTTACAAAGAAAATTTCAATCTACGGATTGATTGTGTTTTGAGGGATCTCCTATACGGAGCCCCCAAAAGTTTTAAAAAAAAAATCTAGAAAAATCTATTGCCCTAAAATTAAACAAACAGCAAGGAATGGGGCTAGCAAATACACCAGCCATTTTTCACCTTGCTCTGAGATTTGGAGTCTCCACTAAATGGTACTTAATCTGCCCAATGTTAAAAGTCTATCTTTTTTTTCCTTTCCCCTTCTCTCTTCCTTTGCAGTGATGAAACCCAGGGACTTGCAAATGCCAGGCAAGTACTCTACCACTAAGCTACATCACCAGCCCTTAAGTACCATTTTTAAACTGAAGAGTCTGGGAATTTCTGAAAGGACTGTGTTCTCCACCCTCAACTTTGTCAAAACACTAGGCCCTCCCTACCTTCCTAGGGATGTTCTAGCCATGTTTGCACCCTTCTACCCTGTACTTTCATCCCCAGACTTAAGAGAGAGCTGAAAGGATACTGATAGATTAGCAAAACAAAGACAAGATGATATGGACAGCTCCAGCTCCACTTTGCAGAACTACACACGTTTTAGTCTCAGCATGGGATAGATGCACCCTCACAAGGGGTGTGCAAATTTAAAATATGTATCACCTATAAACTTTGCACTACCTAAAATTAGTAAATAAAATCACAAAATATATTTTTTTTCAACTTTATATGGTATGTAGTGACATGGCTGAGCAGAGGATAATGAAGATATACAATGAACAGTCTTTGCCCTCATGAATTTGTGATGTAATTATAGAGAATAGGTGTGAAGATTAGGAAAGATGGCGGGGAGGGAGTGGCTCCTCAGTGCCTAGCATGTAAAAGGCCTTGGGTTCCATGGGGAGCACCATAAAAAAGAAAGAAAAGGGATGGGATATAAATAAAGCTAGGAAGATAATGAATAATCTAAGTGAACACATGGGCTCCAAAATCAGTTGTACACACAATACCTTAACTTTGTGATGCTATCTTCGAATGAAAATTATCAGAAAGCCCCACAACCATTCTGGTAGAAGCTTTAAAAGTCCCTATTGCAGCTCTGTTCTCTGCTACCCACCCCTAGCCTCAAACCCCACAGTGCCCAACCTTCAGAGCATTCAAGAAGGGGAGATGAGGTATGCTTTCCAAACTGAGCAGGAAGGAAAGGGCCCACTCAGCAGGAAGGGCCTGCAAGACACAGGAATGATGCCCCAGGTGGATTCCATAAACTGAAAAAGAACACAAGGGTCACACATGAAAGGATCAAGGATAGAAGAGTTAGAAAAAGTAGGTGCTACTACTTCCACTTTCTAACTGGAATTTGAATCCTGATGAACAAAAAACCAGCTGTGAGCAGTGCCCGGGAAAGGGCTGGATAAAAGGCACTACACAGAAGTATCACCCATGGGCAGGGAGAGCAGTAGGGAACCCCACTTCCCATCCCAACCTGGCTTCTTAGCCCAGCTCTCACCCAAGCTCCCCATCCCATAGGTAAGAAAAACATGTTAAATGGGGTGGGAGGAGATACCCTAACCAAGATACCCCCAATGACCAATATAACTAATATAAAAGAGAAAAAGCCCAGGGCAGGTTATAGAACATGTGCCTCTCTTTGCCACAGCAGGCCCTACTCAGCATCCTTTCTCCCTGTCCTGCCTTCCTCACTATGGTGTGGATGCAATTCCAGGGAGCTGAATCTCCCAGTATTTTCAAGAAGAAACATTTCAATGTTTATAACTGTGTAGACTAAAGAGAACATGCTTACAAGTCAGTTGGCAGTTTCTACATTAGAGAGGGGTCTAGATCTCTCTTTCATACTACACTAGCCTCAACATCTTGCCCAGGGTCTAACATCATCATGCACTCAATACAGAACTCTTAAATCAGTATATCAGGACCAGGCATTAGACTACAGAGCAAATTGTAAGCCAACTTCTTTTGTCCCTCCTCCATTAGAGAACTGTACCTTAGAGGCACAGAGTAGCAGGTTCCAAGTAAAGAAAAACCTTCTTGTAAATCACTCACCAAGTCACTATTAATAGTGCCATATTACCCTCCACATGAAAATTTTTCAACCTCTTTGGTTGTGCTATTATGTCTACCTTGACCTCAATCTAATCCTTTCTGGCCTCTTTTCCCTTTCACCTTCTTCAAAGACCTTACTCTGGATCTCATTAAGAAAAAGAAATCAAAATCACAAGTTCAGGGCTCACAAAGTAGCTCAATAGTAGAGCACTTGACTTGCATGCTAGGCCCCATCCCAAGCACTACAAACAATAACAACAACAACAACAACAAAAAAAGGAATACAATTTGACAAAGGAATTCCAAACATGCTCCTAGCCACCTGGCAGAAAAATTCTTCCCAGTTCTTTGGTAAGAACCAAGGTTCTGAAAGGCAGAGAGACTCCATGCCCAGATCTTGGTACCCTATTGAGGCTAAACAGATATAGGACCCCCTATGACCCCTACATGGAACTGTGCATACAGTGTACAAGGTAGCAGTTCTATCATAGGTGGATCCTACACACTGGAAGAAAACAGCTATCCAAATTCATAGAGGGATAAATGTAAGCATTCACCACTAAAGTGAAGAACTTAAGTCAGAGCTTCAGGGCAAACATGAAGGTACCCCAGAAATGAATAAACTCTGGAATTGCAAAGACTAAAAAAATTATTGAGGCCTGTGCTGAGTTCATGCATGACTATAGAGATGGTAATATAGCCAGTGGACATGAAGAACAAAGGAAGGTGTGAACCAATTTTTAGAGCAAAGGGAAAAAAATGTTGCCAAAGGAGGTAAACAAGGGACAGGCTGTATAGGATAAGCTCCTTCACTGGAGGGTTCATGAAAGCCAGGTCTAGGTGGATCAGGACTTACTTGCCACTGGTAAGGAACTTCTGTATATGTCCCTCCTCAAACACTCATTCTACTCCCTTTATCTTCTACTCAAGTATACTCAAATCTTCCCTTCTAAAAAACACCAACATTTGCCCTAGTACAGAATGTTAGCTTTATCTATTTCTACTTCCTCTTTTAAAAATGTTGATGATGAAAACTCTTGAAGCATAAACAAAAATAGAGAAGGATCACCCCCCATATGTACCTTTAATTGACTTCAAAAATCACCTGCACTTTGATAATCTTGTTTCATGTATCCCTTCTCACACTGGCTTTACTCCTTTAAGTTAATAAAATTGGTTTCGAGAGGTTAAGTCCCTCACTCAGGGCTACCCCTTCAGAAGCAGAGAGATAGATTATAATTTGGGCCAGGTCAAACAAAGTTGTATACAACCACATGTGTATATGTTGGGGGGAGGAAGGGATGGGTACTGGGGATTAAACTGGGGACTTTGTGCTGGGGAGGCAAGCACTTTGACACTGAGCTATACCCCAGACCAAGATGTGCATATTATATAATCAACACTTAAAAATAGTACAGATAATAAATTCTATAGTACATAATTTGATCACAATATAAAGGTCCTTCTGAGAGATTAAAATTCAGGGAAAACAATATTAAAAAGAGAACAAAAAGCCACTAACCACCCTTTAAAGTAGACTCTTCCACCTCAGGAAGTTAAAAAGATCAGTAGAAGGAAAATAGATATTGTCAATCTTTTTCAGACCAAGAGATGATTTTTAAACATTTTATTTAAAAGGTATTTGTTTTCTATTTTTCAGTAGAATTTACATAGTTAATAGATGAAAGGTTAATATAAGAAAAATATGAGCCAATGTTCCACCATTTTAAAAAAAAAATAAATTATGGAGAAAAAAACTGAATTTTAAAATATTGAATATCAATGTCTATCATTGATAACTCCATTAGTACTATTTTATGCCCTCCTAACACTGTGGGGTGCTGTAAATGATCAAGAGGGCACACATCATTTCCCTTATAGTCAACATATCACAATTAAGACCAAGACACAGACATCTGGTCTTTTCACAAGACTGAGATAAAATGTTTGATTTTATAAAATCAGCTGCCAAGACTGAAATATTTGCTGTTCCCTCTACCTGCCCCTTGAAGTTCTGACTAAATCTCATCCTTTTTCTCCTCTCATATATCATCTTCCTCAAAATTCCTAACACAGAGAACCCCACATCACAACTTTATATCTTTCATTCACCTTTCATAAGCAGTTACAGTCCTCCATCAGAATTCAAGGAGGATTGGTCACAGAGTCTCTCCCTATATATACCAAAGTCCTGGGAAGGTCAAGTTCCCTACATAAAATGGCATAATATCTGTATATAACATACATACATCTTCCTTTATACTTTAAATCATCTCTAAATGATGTGTAATAGCTAATACCATGTAAATAGTGGTTATACTGTATTTTTAGGGAATAACAAGAGAAAAATATGTACACATTTAGTACAGATGCAATTTGCTTTTTCAAATATTTTTGAACCTTGGTTGATTGGACCTATGGATATAGAACTCCTGGATATGGAAAGCTAACTATATTCTCTGGTGATATTTCCTTCATCTTGAATATAAGTACTATATAAAGGCATGATCCTTGCCTATCTTGCTCTCTACTGTATCTCCAATACCTAAAGCACTCATGTGCTAGGTGCTCAAAAGTATTTCTAGCACACAGAACAAACCACTGTTGGTTTGTTTTAGAATCTCTCCTCCTCACCATTCTTCACAAACCTTATCTTTTTCTGCTTTCTATGTTTCTTCTCTCCTACCAGCTCTACTATTTCTTCATTGGTTTTGATGTTCTGACATTTAAGTCTTTCAAAATGTCTAAGGAATGATATATTACACCAGATGTCATGGTTAGGTTCCTTTTTACAGATCTGTGGCCACTTGGAATGCCGTAAAATGGAAACAGTTGGGGTGGTAGATCTAAATTGCTAAGGTCTTTGCAACTCAAAGTGAGTCTAAACACTTAAAAATTAAACTTTGAGGGGCTAGGGTTGTAGCTCAGTAGTAGAGCATGTGCCTAGCATACGCAAGGCACAGGATTCAATACTCAGCACCGCATAAAAACACATGAAATAAAATAAAGGTATTGTGTCCATCTGCAACTAAAAAACTAAAGAAATAGAACTTTGACTGTTAGCAAGAACTCCATATAGAATGTCATTGGATGCTAACAAAGCAGTATCATTGTGGGACATTATATTCAGTGTTTGCCACTCCACCATTTTTAACCCTTATTAACAAATTCAATATTGTGAACACAGCACTCCTGAACTTGATATTTAATACTTTGAACAAAATATGCATTGTGCAAAATGGCTACTAGCTAATTATTACCTCCATGTCAGAAAGTTGTAGTGGAAGTGGAAAAAGACCAAATATCATCATGGGAAATTCATATATCCTAAAAATGAAAACTTTAAAAACTCCTGAAATCACATGTACATCCATTGTTAGTAAAATCTATTCCCTATTTCTTAAGATGTCTACAAATAATATATAGGCATAGCTAACTTGTAGGGATGGAAGAAATCAGGCTAAATTTTCTTTCACCTTCTCACACAGGGAAGACATGGGTTCTAATTTCTTTTCTATTGATTTATCATTGGTGCTAGGTCTCATCAGTGGTTCACTTTGGGACCAGAACATTCATTGTTGGAGGGTAGGGGAGTTGTCTTGTGCATTACTATGTTTTCAGTAGCATCTCTGTCTTCTACCCACCAGATGCCAGTAGTATTTCCGTTCTCTAATCACAATAACCAGAGACATCTGTGAAAATGTGCGCCCAGAGAACAATATTGCCCCTGACTGGGGACCACTGTTTTACAATTCCCAAACATTGCTGGGTGCAGTGACACGTGCCTGTAATCCCAACTCCTAAACTCCCAGTGGTCTCTCAAGACTGAGGCATGAGGACTGCAAGTTCAAAGCCAGCCTCAAAAACTTTCTAAGACCCTAATCAACTCAGTGGAACTTGTCTCAAAAAATAAAAAGAGCTGGGGATGTGGATCAGTGGTAAAGTGTCCCTGGTTCAAACCCTAGCCCCCCTCAAAAAAAAATCCCCAAACATATATCACCCCCATCCAACAATTAAAGCCTAAATCACCAACTTAAAAACTGCCCATCTTTAAAATCCATAAATTGACATCAATGAACAGTTCTGAAAATTAAAGAAACAATGAGCACTCAAGAAATGTTGGTTCCCACTCTCCATTTCTGTTAAGGAATTTGTCCCTTCCAGGTACCTTACTTCCAAGGTGAACTCACATATTTCAAATGAGATTACATTTAAAATAACAGAATGAAAGATTATGATTCCTTCTATCATCTCTCTCCATAGGAGGAATGTTTTCTTAATTTTTAGGAAGAATACCTGAACCAAGTAAACACTTAGCACATTAAAGGAAATTCTTTATATACTTCAATGAATCCTTGCTAGGCCTAAGTCTTAAAAACACAGTGCCTTCAATGATATCTAATAATAACAGCTCCTATACCCCATAGTACTTACAGCCTCCCACCCCAGTTTCTATGGTGATTTTCATCCCTCCCCTCATTCCTTCAAACTTTTTAAAATGAGTTGGGGGAGGGAAAAGACTAAGAGACTTTACAGCTTTTCACAATGAAATATTTCTTTCTAAATTAAGAAGCTAAAAATTTTGGCCAGAGACCTTCTCAAATCCTAAATGGATTAAGGATGAGAATTCAGAGTCGTTTTCTAAGACTTAGTTTTTGACAATCAGGAAATACTAGAAATTGTTCAAGTTGAGGCAGAGTTTAAGCATGCCATGTAGTTGAAAGATCATCAGCAAAATATTAATCACAGCTGAAACCTGACATACCCTCTCCTATGTTCCTTTAGTACAATACATTCCAATTTTACATTCCATTTCCTGTAAGTGCAAATTCAATCTGTCAAACTGGATGACAACACCATAAAGCTGCTGAAATTCTGAAACCCAACCTGCTAAACATCCTGAACAGCCCTTCGCAAAAGAAAAGTGAAAAGAAATGTAATGTATCCTGAAACATCTGAAAATTATATAAGAAGGATTTCAAAATCACCCCCTAATAAGCTGAATATGAACAGCACCAAAAATTCCCAATCTAATTTTAACTCTCCATATTTGTTTTAAATGGCACCCAAAGAAAAATTATCCCTGTGTTCTTAAGAACACTAAAGGGTTTTAAGATCTACTGCAAGATCCCTCTAAGCAGACATTGGCATAAACCCCTGAAAACCGTGGGTTGTATCTTTAAAAGGTGTCAAAGGAAAAGCAGATGAAATGCTGTAATCTCCACCCACTGTCACTTAAGACTTACTGCCCACGCACGGCATAGACCCAGCCAGCATCCTGCATCCACCCGTTCTTTCAAGCCCACTATATTAGACCATGGAAACTCAGGATGTGTGGCCACAGAGGCCCCTGCTCTGGATCCAGCTGGCCCACCACGTGGCGTGGCCGTGACCTTAGTCACACTTCCCCCTGACATCCTGTGAGTGGGCTCAAGCTGGAGCCAGACCTTCCCACCGAGCAACCCGCCCTGCTCCTGGAAATGACAAACCCCCACTCCCTAAAACATTCCATTCTCTGCTTACACCAACAGAGCTTCCTGCTCCCCACCCCTCTTGAACAACAGGTCTTTGAATATCATTCCCAACCCTGGGAACACCTTTAACCATTTAGCCTACTAAGGCAGGCATTTACAATTTCACTTTATACACTATTACAGAAGTGTCTTCTCTGATTTTCACTAACCTATTAATAAACTATTATCACAGTAATCACTTTGATAGGAATTATAAGCACATTCAACATTCAAAATCCCAAGTACAGCACTGCAAAATTTGCACAAAAAGGCTCTTTTCATTATACAAGTGCCTCTTCATTTAGTAGAGAGGGGGTCTGCTAGACTCTGATTTACATAAGCATTATTTCCATGGTCCTTTTTAAGTTGGACTAAAAGGATTTTTAGAAATCTTTGACTTATATGCCCAACTCTTCTCTTTGAAATAGCCCTTTCTTGTTTTAATCTTAATTTTTGAGGAACCCAGGGTTTTACGCATGTACCAGTCAGATGCACCCCCAACCCCCTACATTTTAATAAACAGGTGAATGAGAATGAAGAAAAACTTCCTGATTTACTTGTAGATGTCAAGAAAGAAGCAAGTTTTGATTTCATCAGCCAGTGGAGTTAGTGATGTTCATTGGCTATATATAGTAATCCCATCTTCCTCTAAAATATGTATGTGGTCCTAAGGATGGTTTTCTCAAGATGTCAAGATGGGGAGAGGGACACAAAAAGAACACCCATTGTTTAGCCTCAAACTATTTTCCATATTCACAATCACACATGGAGATTATGGTTCTGCAAAGGATGGAGTCAGTGCAACCTGCCCTATCTCACGACAAGCAACTATAAACCCTGGAGCAGCTATACAAGGACTCTGCAAAGTAAACAGAAGCAGATAGATGAAGAGAGAAGACCAGGACTTGAAATACCAACTGGGAGTTAATTTCCCCATTCCTTTTTTCTCCAGTGCACCCAAGCCTGGGCTCATCACACTGTTACCAGACACTGGATGCTGGCAGAGAGAGAAACAAGAGATGCAGCAGGAAAGAGAACTCTTGATGCTCAGAAACACTAGGGGATATCCTCCAGTTTTCCATTCTCTGTTCTCTCAGGCCACAGTCACTAAGTAACCCCACAGTAGAGATGGAAGCTTAGCAGCAAAGGGAGCCTACAGGAACTGAACAGTTAAAGAGACCAACTTTCCTCTGGATTCAGTGCAGCTGAGGTTCCAAGAAACTGGCCCATTGTGTTTAACTGTCTCTGTCATCTAATTGCTTGGCTCCAGGAACATGGACCCAGTAGTACAAGTGCACAACTGCCAGCACACAACACAGCAGAATACTTAAGAACAAATTTTCTGGCTAAGTGACCAAAAAGAGAATCCTCATGGATCTGGAAAGTACTAGATAGATGGAAGAAAAGAAGCTTTGGAAAGAGACCCCCACAAAATATTTATGAATGGCCAAACCTGGGGATCACTCCACCCCAGGTTTGCATGAATGGATCTCATTCTAAATAGCCTATCAAAGACTTTGAGGACTAAAGCCCTAAGATTCCAGATTGAGCAGCATGAGGTGCGTGCACTCACAATGCAAGCGATACTGGTAACAGCTGATATTGGGACCAATAATCACAAGTTAGTTGGCACTTGCTCACTGAACTCAACCAGGTCAAATGCCTACACAAATGAAAATACAACATTCTTAATAGGATTTAAATAAGATCTAGGGTGTCTCATAAAATTCAAAATATTCAGGACAGAATCCAAGATTACTCAGCATGGGGAAAAAGACAATCAACAGATGCCAGTGCCTAAATGACAGAGGTCTTAATTATCTGACAAAGATAGAATCAATAAAAGAAGAGAAATTCTGCACAAGGAAAATAAAAAGAAGTACTACTGAAGATTTTAGAACTGAATAACAAAATAACCAAAATTTAAAAAAAAACTCTTTGAAGATATGAGGTTTCTACCTCTCCAAAGAAAATAGCCAATCTGGGGCTACGGTTGTAGCTCAGTGGCAGAGTGCTTGCCTAATACCTGTGAGGCCCTGGGTTCGATCCTCGACACCATATAAAAATAAATAATAAAATTAAGGTATTATGTCCAACTAAAAGGAAAAAGAAAATAGCTAATCAGAGTAACAAAAAGAAAAAGGTTTGAAACAAAACAAAGCAGAGCCTCAGAGACTCTAGGGACAATAATAGAAGGTCTGCCACTTGTGTCCTGGAAGAAAAGAGAGGAGTGTTGTGTGGTTCAGGAAAAATATTTGATGAAATACCAGTTGAAAACTTTTTGTAAATTTCACAAGCTATATAAACCTATAAACCTGAAAAGTAGAATGAACCTCATCTAGGATAAACCCAAAGAAAACCATGCTGCAAACTAAAAATGAAGCAAACAATCCTGAAAGCAGTGAGAGAAAATGACACATTACTTCTAGGGACACAAAAGTTCAGACAGCTTTAGATTTTTGCGTACAAAAAGAAATGGCACACATTTCTAAAGTATCGAAGGAAAAGAACTGTAATACAGAATTCTATAGTCATGTTGTAAATTCTTTAGAAATGAAGGTGAAATACAGATATCTTCAGACGAAGGAAAAATAACTCATTGGCCAAACAAAACTTTTTAGACAAAAGGGAAATGATGCTACAAGAAAACTAGGGACATCGGGAACAAAGAAAGAAAAACAAAAATGTTAGGTATCTGCCAGACACAGTGGCACAAGCCTGTAATCTCAGTAGGGAGACTGAGGCAGGAGGTCTCAAGTTCAAACCAGCCTCAGCAGCTTAGTGAGGCCATGTTCTGAATAAAATATAAAATGGACAGAGGATGTGGGTCAGTGGTTAAGAGCCTCTGGGTCCAGTCCTTAGTAACCAAAAAAAAAAAAAAAAGGATATATATCTAGGTTTAGAGATCTATCAAGTCATATATCACTTACAATGTGTCTAAGATAATTTCATCATCATGTAAACGGCATTAAGAATATGCTTCCCAACATGGGATGGCTACCATGTTACTAGGCAATATAATCTCATGCAACCATCATCATGCATGTGGCCTATCATTACTGAAATATTATATAGAGAACAACTATTCTCTTGAGCTCTTAACTGAAAGCAAAAATTGTATCTATGAGGGTTTTGGTGTATACAGAAGTAACACAAAAAATAATTATAAAAAAAGAGGAGGTCAAAAGGACCTACAGGGTGATAAGATTGTTAAATTCTTCTTAGTGATAAAATGTAAACACATAAAAATAAACAAATAAAATAAAGGAATTGTGTCCAACTACAACTAAAAAAAATAAATATTTTTTTTAAAAAATATCAAGATGGACCATACCCTGAATACATTAAGTGAATTTAGAAGAGTCAGTATAACACAAAGGATGTTTTCTGGTCATGATGAAATTAAACCAGATATCAACAGAAAGACAAAAGGAAAATGTCCAAATAACTGTAATTATATAATACACTTCTAAATAATCTATGGGTCAAAGAGAAGCCTCAAGTAATAAAAATATTTTGAGTTGAACATAATAAAAATGCGCCATATCAAAATGCACGTAATACACCTACAAAAATGATGCCTATGAGAAAATTGATAACACTAAGTGTTTATATTTGAAACAAAAGATTTCCAATTAATGATCCAGCCTCCACCTGAAAACAAAGAACAAAACACACTCAAAGGAAGAAGGAGGGGAATGAGAAAGAACAGAGAGCAATGAAATTGTAGATAGAAAAAAGCAGTAGGGGAAAAGAAGAATCAATGAAACCAAACACTGATCCTTTGAAAGTATCAACAACTGTTAAGCCCCTAGTAAGCCCCAGGGGGGAAAAACACCATCAACAAATGGAATCTAACATTTATAAGACATTATAACCAACGAAATCAGAATATGAAAGCTTTTAAAGTATACATGAAACATCATCAAGATGGACCACACCCTGAATACATTAAATGAATTTCCAACTGCCTTTTTAAAAAGGCAGAAAATACAATTTATTAATAGCAGGAATAAAAAGGGGAGTACCATTACAAATCCTACAAGCATCAATAAAAAAATAAGGGCTGACTCTTTCTTAGATGTTAGTACTTACCAGTGGAACCATCTATGGAGTTTCCTTTTTCAAGAGGTTTTAACTATGAACCCAGTTTTATTGAGGGTAACAGGACTATTCCAGTTATCAATTTCATCTTAGGTGAGTTTTGGTGGGTTGTGGGTTGTAGTTTTATCAGGAATTGGAGGTATAAGTAGTTCCTCTTTGATTCTGACTTGATATCCCTGGATTCAAGAAGAGACCCTTTGAGCTGAGGTATTTCAGATGTCTTAGAGGTTTCCAACTTTCTTAGCAGCAGAACATTGGGCAAGGGACACTTTTCGTAGGTTCAAGGGAAGATTCTGAGAAGTAAATTTCAAATTCCCAGTTTCAAAGACAGGATGCCATGTGTGGTAACACAGCATCAAAAAATTGCCATTATCTGGTCAGGGCAGATGATTTCAAATGTTCTGTGAAGTGAGTTGAAAAATGTGAGGCTAGAGGTACAACCTAAGGTAGGGGTATTGAGGAGGGGGAAGGCCAAAGATTTCTCTCTCTTCCACCACTCCAACTACCTTCTGAACCACCTTCTGAGATTCTACCTTCAGGATTCCTCCATCTTATATGCAGCACCATCCTGGCAAAAGCTAAGTGCTGACATGACTTCTACTCACATGTAAATCAGAGTCTGCTTGAATTCTTTATTCTTTTGAAGGGAATTCCATTGCTACAGAATAAGTTTAAAAAACTCTGCCCTCAGATGTCCCAAAGGACATGACTAGAGATTCTGGCATGGGATCCTCAGGAAAGCAACTGGCCAGCCATTCCCAACTCAAGGCAGGGCACTTCTATGGAGTCAGCTGGGGTTTGGAAACAAAGTTGTGGCATCTGACTGACTGGCCGTAATTCTTCCCCTATTTAGTCAGTCACAAACTAAGACTCATAAAGCTGAAAGCAACCTCATAAATCTCCCTGCCCATGTCCTTATTTCACAGCTGAGGGGACTGTAGTCCACATACAGGAAGTGACTGACCTAAGGCACATGCTTTGTTGAAGCAAAAATGGGATTGGGTCCAAGTTCTAGGGTCCCAGCACAGTTCACTTTACACCACAGATAAAAACAAGCATTTATTAGACAGCTACCATATGCAAGGCAATGTGCCGGTAGTTCACCATAGTCATAGTGATCCCAGTGGGAAAACTGACCTTTGGGAAATCAGGGACCATGCAATCTTTTGGTTATTACCATAATCTAGAAAGTGATTTTGTCCTATATCTGAACTACAACCAGATAGGCAAGTGGAGGAGAATGTTACATTAGTAATCTAAGGAGCTAGACAAAAAACTGGACATTGAAAGAAGTAATGACTGTAGCCACAGGTACTTTGTTGGACCAAGATAAGGAAGCCACTGTGAGAAGACTCAAGCCAACCATGACCCAGATAGCCCTGGGTCCTAGCAACCACCATGACATACTCTAAAAAGCAGGAGATTTCTACTAAATCTAGGATGCTATGTTTCAATGCCATAATAACAAAGAAAGAACATGAGGATATATGCATTGAGAACACTTCTGGTTTTAACTGAGAAACTGGTATAAATAACAATTCTGATGGGAAATTTGTATCCAGGTTTGACAAGTTATTCTTCTAGGAGACGTTTCCTCCCCCACTGGTATTCTCAAGATGGAAAACTAGAGTATCCCTGATGTTCCCCTATATTTTCAAGGAATAAATATGTCATGGAATTTGAAACTTAAAGTATGGGTGGCTACTCATTAAGCTTTGGAGTTGTCACATTCCCACGAGGGAAGGTTTAATAAAACTAAATTCCACTCTGTAGTCACCCAACTGATAATTCTATCAAAACAAGAGGTCAAGCTCTATTAACCATAATGGTCAAAAGGTGAACAAGTACGCAATTCCATATGAAGCATAGAGCTTTCTGGAAGAAAATACAGTCACGCACAAGGTAACTATTAGAAAAGATGTTCCCAGAAGCTATAAAACACACTGCAAACTGGGGTCAAATGACCTTTCGGTTTGGGACAGAAAAGTAGGGGAAATCATCAAGCATCACCATCATTTTCTTTAAAAGCATAGAATTAAAGATTTTTAAAATGTTTTTCATGCATGCAGTTTTAAAATGACATATACTCCAGCCAATTCTAAGGACAGAAATAATTTATCATCATCACAAAGGCTATAGGCATCCAAAGCAAGCAGTGGCTACTGCAAAGGCTTAATGGAACACCCCCCCCCCCCGAAAATTATTAATAATAGAATGGTTTAGGTTGGCATTTCCCCCAGAGCCTCAGGAGCTGGCTAAGTAACCTCAGAAGTACCCTGCTAGTTCAGTAATTCTGTGAGTCAATGGAAAAATGACAGCAATTAATCTTGGGTTCTGTGTTTCAATGTGTTGCTAGTGAATGAAAGACATGATGAAATATGTATATATGAAGCTTTGAGCTTTAACTCAGAGTTTGATAAAAATGTCTATATATGTTCACTGATAATATCACTAACACCTAGAATAGGGTCTGGCACACAATACAACCCCCCTCCAAAAAATTTTTTTTTTCCTTAATATACATTCAGTCTCATTAGACAAAAATTCTGCAAAATTAAAAATATGTGCCTGGTTGAACTGAGTGGCACACCTCAGTACCAATGACTCGGCAGGTACAGTCTGGAAGTTCCAGGCCAGCCTGGGCAACACAGTAAGACTGCATCTTTTTTTTGAAAATAGAACTAGCTTCGGCAGTGCACATACTAAAATTGGAACAATAGAGAGAATAGTAGCAAGTCCCCTGTGCAAGGATGAAGTGTTCCATATGTTTAGCCACACAGGGTGGTACACATCTAAAATTCCAGGGGCTCAGGAGGCTGAAACAGGAGGCTCACAGGTTCAAACCAGTCTCACCAACTTAGTGAGACCCTGTCTCAGAATTAAAAGAAAAAAAAATGTGGCACAGTGGTAAAGCATCCCTGGGTTCAAGTCCCAGAACCACCCAAAGAAAAAGAAAAGAAAACCATACACACAAATTAGAAAGGAAGCATCAAATCCAACATCCATTGAGATATTTTTCTTTGGTATAGGTCAGTGAAATCAAACAAGTGAGGGGGAGGCAGGCCTTCCATTGTTTACTAGCTATGTGACCTTGGACAAATAATTTGAATGCCTCTCTTAAGTATCTATGGCCTCATTTCTAAAATAAGGCCAATCATCTCTTCCTCTCAGTGTTATGGTATGAATGCAATGTGGTAATACTGTTGCAGAGCCTGGCACACAACAGATGTTCACCCAATCAAACACCCTTGTGAGAGGATGTGAAAATCTCCATATTCTGGCCTAAACCCTGGATACCAAGTAGAAATTTATATCATCCGTGGTGCTGGGTTTCTTCTCAAAAACAAAGACAAGTCCTTTGCTTATTATTGCAAGAATTTTCTACCCTGAGATCAGAGGCCCAAGAGGAGCTTTCTAGCAAAGTAATGTGTTGATTGTGACTTTCCAGGAGTGAGGGGTTAGAAAGGAGCTGCTTGGTGGGGTCTTTCACATGTCTCTGAGGATGAACCCTCCAAGAGCCCAGGTAGTTGGTGACAGAGAGGCATGAAGAAAGAAAGCAGTGAAGACTCAGGCAGCTAAAAGACAGCCCCAGCATTAGAAGCACCAGGGAAGGATGAAGCATCAGAGAATTGGGACAACTCAAGGTCTACCTTACAGAAGCATCCTTCATTTAACTAGTCATTAACTAGTCAATGAAAAGCAGTTCAGAGCAGTTCTAAGTTGTGATTTCATAGAAAGTTCAAACCAATTTATAACTAAATCCTCCCCCCCCCAAAAAAAAATCTGAAATTGGCTGGTTACTCTGCCCGAATCCATAACATGGATAAATCAAAATGCTGCTACAAGCCTCCACCTTAAAAGCCAACACGTGTATTTCAATACAAGTTTAATATTTTTTCTATTAAAAAAAAAGCCATGAATGATATAATCAGAAAGTACTCACAAAACTGAACAGAAGCATTGCTCTTTGAGAGGGTGCCTTCCTCAATTTGGTCCTCCTTTAAAATGCACAGTCTATATTTAGTTCCTTGTGTAATTTCAATGATATCAAAATCTTTCAGGACTCAGTTTCTCCATCTGTTTTTTAAAAAGGCAGGAAAGGATGGATCTAGCTAACTGTAAAACAATTTACATAATTTCTGAAAAAAAATCATTATTACTTCCCCCTATACCAGGCTTATTACCAAATATGCCTATCTTTGAATATGTGCTTCTCAGAAGGTTAGAGGGAATAAAGTTTAAAAATAACAAAGAGTTAATACAGACTTGAAGGCAAATTTTCTAGACACCTTGTTCACTCCAAAACAGAACAGCTGACCACAGTAGCACCCCTCCTTTCCTTTAATCACATTTCTGTAACTCCATTTCCCAGATGCTACAAACCACACTCTCATAGTCCCCAAAGCTAATCTTAAGAAACAGCCGGGGAACTCTCTTGCTAAGCCCATAGTTGTTAGAATCACTTAAGTATAGCATTAAGTCTACTTGCTTCACACTGCAGATGGTGGCGAAAGCCATGCTCAGCCCATAGCAAGGAGTGTAAGATGCACACAAAGAATGAGACATAACAGTGTTTTGATTTACTATTGATGTGAATCACATGTATTTTTATGATATATGCAAGCTATAATTAAGTTAACACACCAAACAATGCAGTCTATAACATTCTCAAGTAATAATGGAGGAAAAGTCATGAAAACCAAGCGCAGCACAGACCAGCCTATTTGAAAAGCATGGAGTATGCAGAATACAAAAATATTTTTCATTAACTAAGAGAAAACCTTAGTACATTAATTCTAAGAGAATAACAGTACTTATTAAATACTGTACAAATTCTTCCCATAAGCCCTTAACATGATATTCCATGCTCTGGGAGCCCACATTGCTACAGAACACCTAACCTTTTCTAAGTACAAGGGACTGGAGTGTACACAAATAGACCCACTAATTTACAAACAACCAATACAGGAGAACAGTTTAACTTGTTACAACAACCTTGTCCCATAACCATGTAAAGCACTTTTGGTTTGCAGTGACAAAAATCCCTTAAAGACTGGAGAACTATTACTGTAACCAAAAGTTTAACAAAGCACCACTGTTGAGAGTTGATAAAGAAAATTTTAGAAATCAGAGGATTTGTACTAACATACCAACTATCTGCAAAGCAAAACTTCATCTCTAACTATTTCTAGTGGGAGCACAAACCCTCTTTTCTCACTCCAACTCATTTCTGAGGCCCTTAACACTGCATAAAATGTCTGACTTACAACATTTTCAAAAGATCACCCTAAAAAGCACAAAGCAATTTTTAATCCTAGAAAACTGCAAGAACTAATAAAACATTTTCCACTTAAAGAGGAGAAATGTATAAAGGGAGCCAAAATCTTATTGAAAATGCTTAATGATAAATTCTAGTTGTCAAAATAAAATGGAAGTTTATGAAAAATGATCACAACCCAACTAAACATTAACGCAAATGTGATCTATTAAGAATCTAGTCTGCAATAAAAATATATAAGTTCTAGAAGTATATGATTGAATAGGCAAATTCTTTATTTCTCCCATTTCCTTTGGAATGTGTTCACATTACTCTTATAGTTCAGTTCACAAGATGTAATGTGATCTAGTACATTGTGTGAATGGATTCATTTGGAAAGCCTCCTTTCATTCATAGGCTTCAAGAAATGCTTGCTTCCTGTGTTCCAAGGGAGGCCATATTTATAATTAGCAGTTTATATAAGATTTACTTGGTGTGTTTCTCATGTGATTAAACACTGGCAGGGTCAGTTCTGGTGTGGGGAATGGCAGTAAAATGCTCACTTGTGCAAAAGCCTGCAATAATCAACCCTTGGTCTTCAGTTATTACATCCCCAAGGCTCCATTTGAGTTTCAAGTATTTTACCTGAAAGAAATAATAGCTGGCAGTCACAATTATTTAACTAATATTACACATGAATCTCTTTCTGTCAGCAAAGAAGGCACCAGGTGGGAAGAAACAAAGTGCTCTGTGGCCCAGTTAGGCCAATGAAATAAAAGGGAGCCTAACAGTAAATGAGAAACTAGAAACATTAATTTCTCTATTATTTTGCATCTGTTTTGACTTTCAAATAACTTTACCTATGCATATAGGCAAAGACCTAAATTAAGATGGACTGAAAGGCCCCTACAGTATGGCCACTTCATGAACTGACCATACCTCAAAGGACTCTTAGCACTTTGTAGTCATGGCACATCCATCCTTCCCTAATGCCAACATCAACCTTGAATCAAGTTTTCTAAAAAAGTGGTCAATGCTGGCCAAGGCCCTTTCCCAAGTTGTTTCTCTTTTATCTGGGAAGCAATTTCATTTCATACAGCATCACTGAGTTGATGGAAGTCAATTTGGGAAAGGTGGGTGTGGAGCAGCGATACAGGAAAACATTATATCCTCTGGAAATTCCAGGCCTTTCCGCTGATTTCAGGTACACCAGAGTTCACTGTGGCCATTATTCAAGAGACGTACATAGGGCAAAAAGCAATATTCTGGGGAATGAATCCATGAACTACTAAAATGAGCTTCAAGCTGTGTTGCCCTAATTTGTTATTCGAATTTCTCAAATATAGAATGTTACCTGGGACAACAAAACCAGGAAGTTGTTTAATAACTGGTAATCAAAATATTTGTTTCAATACACAAGGCAGCAAAAAGTTTAGGACACTTAGAATTGATGGTTTAAATTATTAATTAGAAAACTAGATTAAATAGCCAGGCCCAGTAGTGCATGTCTATAATCCCAATGGCTCAGGAGGATGAGGGAGGAGGATTGCAAGTTCAAAGCCAGCCTCAGCAATTTAGTGAGGCTCTCCGCAACTCAGTGAGACCCCTCTCTACAAAAAAAAGTTGGTAATGTGGCTCAGCAGTAGAGTGCTCACCTAGCACGTGCAAGGCACTGGGTTTGATCTTCAGCACCACATAAAAACAAATTTTAAAAAAGGTATTGTGTCCAACTACAACTAAAAATATGTGTATATTAAAAAAAATAAAAAATAAAAAAGGGCTATGTGGCTCAGTGGTCAAGTTTATGTTGGTTTCCCTGTACTAAAATCTACCCAAAAAGCTACATAATTACACGTGATTATTAAATTTGGCAAATATTTTTTAAAGCATTCACTGGTATTTAAGAAACTAACATTGCAAAGGATGGGTAGGGATGAAATTGCAGAGGCTGGTCTCAAACTTGTAATCCCTTTGCCTCAACCTCTGGAGTCACTAGGATCATAGGCATGCACCACTATACTGGGCAAAGACACTAACTTTTAAAGAAGAAAATGTTTGATTTATTAGGCAGTACCATTCTACATTTGTCATTCATATTTTTAAAGTAATTAGTCTTTTATACATAATGTGGTGCTGAGGATCGAACCTAGTGCCTCACACATGCTAAGCAAGTGCTCTGGCTCTGAGGCTAAGCTACAACTACTGCCCTTTATCATTCATTTTTAAATTCAGTTACTAGAAGGGAGGGGAGGAGAAAGGGAGGTACTAGGGAATGAAAATGACCAAATTACGTTTTGTGAATGTATGATTGCATAACAACAAACCCCACTAATGCTTAACTATATTGCACCAATAAAAATTTTTAAAAATTCAGTTAATTAAAAGTGTTGGCAAAATGAGGTTTCCTCTTGAATTGCTTTGTAATTTGCTATCCTTTTTTTCTGTGTGCCAAGTGTGCATAAGACTACTATCCAACAGGTAAAACATCAATTCATTTTTTAGGTAACAAGAGAAAACTGTCCCAGATTCATTCTTGCCTCTTTTCAGAACAAGTAAAACTTACAAAGTACTTTGCAAATATAAAATAGCTATATTAAAAGATGGGGTATGTGTGCATGTGAAAAATGGAATAAATATTTCAAGATAAAAATTTTTATTTTCAAGCCAGGCCTGGTGGTACATGCCTGGAATGCCAGCAAATTGGGAGGCTGGGAAAAGAGGATTGAAAGTTGGAACCCAGCCTCAGCAATTTTATGAGGACCTACCCTGTTTCCAAAAAAAAAAATGGGAGTGGGGATGGGGATATAGCTCAGTGGTAGTGCCCCAGGTCCAATTCCCATTACCAAAAAATAAATAAATTTCTTGTTATGTAACTAACTGCCTTTAATTTTTGAAGTCTCCTGTATTTTCAAATATATTTTACAAGAGTCGCAATCCTTAGATAATAATTCTTAGTAAACACTCTTTAAGAAGACCAATTTAAAGCCAAAGATGACATGATCAAAAACACTATGGGATACTGAATAGGATCCTGGATCAGAAAAGGGACCTAAGTGGAAAAACTGGTGAAATACAAATAAAGTCTGGAGGTTAATTAATAGTTTCGTACCAGTGTTAATTTCCTGGTCTTGATAAATATACCACGGGGTAAGAGAGGAAGCTAGGCAAAGATAGTATATGGAAAACCTCTATTTTTGTAACTCTTCTACAAATGGAAGATCAATTTAAAATAAAGTTTTAAAAGATATACATTACTTGAGAAAGAAAATCAATTGTTTTGCATTGGGTTGAGAACCTAAATTATTTCTACAGTTTACTACATTATTACTGAAGTGATTCCACTAGATGGCACTCTGTTTTCTTTGATGACCACAGAAACCTCTTGACTATTTATCAACCATCACATAATTTTTTTTATTTTATAGATCCAGTGAGTACCATTTCTTTATCTACTACATTCTGTGATTTTACTCTCGCCATATAAAATAGTTCTTGCATTACTTTCTTGAACTAGCTTCGTTTAGGAGCTAAGCTTCATTGTCATTCCAGAATATTAAGATTTATTAATTCAATCATTCAATATTAACCCTTCGCTCTGTGCTACCTTTCTCTCTCCAGTCTGAAGAAACTCATTCTCCCTCATATGAAACCTTTGCATCTTCCTACACACTTGAAAACTAAAAATAATCCAGAGAGAAAACTCTTGGATAAGGAATGCTTTCCATCTTGCTTTTACCACTCTGATGATGCTGGACACCCAAGAATCTCTACTGTTCAAATACAGGGTTGGCTATTCAACAATAGTATGTAGATTCCTTTT